TAAAAGTTTAACAATTAAAATCTTTTTAATTTAATGCTTTTATTTAAGTTTATTCATGATGTTCATATCTCGGGATTAACACATAGAAAGAATAAAATATTTATACTGTTTCATATATGCAATAAGAAAAATAAAAACGTAAAATAAAAAAAAATTAAAGTAAACATTATTGTAGTAGGTGATCATAATATTGAAAAATATTTATTACAAATATTGTATTATAAAAGTGTAATCTTGTATTATTCCTTTTCTCTTTCCTATTATATCCTGTCTAACTCTTCTTCTTAAAAAAAACTTAAAAAATGCATAAGAAAAATGAATAAATTAGAAAATAAATACAAAATACAAAATAATACAATTGCGAATAAAGAACCTTCACTATCATCATTTTCAGCATCACTTTCTGGATTTAAGAATGACCATCCTCCGCTATCAAAGAATCCTTCAGGATCATCTGTTATAGTCTTCATGATCTTTGTCCAATTCAAATGGACACCTTCCGAATATAGAATGTCACACGACCTAAACAAGAAATTATAAATTTAATAATTATGTAAATTATACTGTTTAATATAAAGACTGTCAACTTTGTACATTAAATAATGTCACTTACTTTAACCATTCCTTGACATGATCCAACATGTTCATAGGAATGGCGTTTACCTTCGCTACCTTTCTATGATAATCTTTGAAAACGAAAATCAAGTCAAAGTTTTTTAAGTGAAATTGTACTCTTTCAAAATGAACCAATTCAACATCTTCCAAGGTAATGACAAATGGAGGCTAAAATCGAACTGATATTAATGTAATATTCTCTTTGCCTTGAAAATATTAACTTAGTTTTATCAAAATGAATTACCCGTTCTGTGAGATTAACCAAACATCCACTAGTTGGTTGAAGTAAGACAGTACTCCTGTATGGTGCACCAAAAAATCCCAAGTCTCGAAACGGTGTATCAAATTCTATCTCTTGCTTTGTCACGCTTTCAACCTTTATACAACGCAGACAAGAATAGTTAAGTAATAGAAATAAATGTAAAATCAATAATAATAGTAAATCAATAAGCAATAAGTTAATTAAGTCAAATTTATACACACTTTTTCACAAAAGCTTCTAAAAGCGGTGTTTAATTTATGTCTCAGTTCTCGTTCCGACTGTTCAGCTGCGAGATCGTCGCGATCATGCATATGTTGATAGAATTGCACATCTACATGTTTCTTTTTACCAAACATAATAGCATGCTGAAAAAATAAACAAATATTTTTAGATATGTACTTACATATTGACGATATAAATATGTAATTCACATATTCTTCATTAAAAATTAATATCACTCTTACATGATAAGATGTTAAAAAATAATTGTTTAAGATAACAATATGATACATACCTTTAAATGGAAATGAAGTAGTATAATCACTTCACCATCGCATGGCTGGAAGAAAGCATTCTTAATGTTATTATAAAGAATGTCCACTTTATCGCCGCAAACTGAAGTATAGCGGAATCCGTTCGTGTGCGCTTCTAAACCACCCGTCATTTTTCTTATAACAATATTCGGCCAAATATATAAGTTTTTTAACTTTGGATTGCCTTTATTCTGTGATAATATTAAGGTATCTTGCTTAACAAGATCATTTTCTTTTCCGCTTTCCTCCTCTTCTTCATCTTCCTCATCTTTCACATATGTGGCTATATTTCTCACATTCTTCTTTGATGGCGTTAAATTAGTAGCGGGTTGTCCCTCGTTCACTATAACTGTATCGCCTATGAAAAGGGCGTATGATTTTCCTTCCTTATCCGTTGCGTCTAGATTAGCAAGATTTTCAAGACCAACATTAACATTAAATACCATGCCCTTCTTAGCTACCGCATGAATTTTCGGGTCCAATAGCAAAGAACTTTCCTTAAATTCAATGCCCATAGCAAATCCGAAATTCTTCGTCAAATGATTCAGCATTTCTGGTTTCTTATCTTCGACAAATTTAATACCAGCTTCGTATACCGTACTTATTTTTGTTCCCGCAACTAACTTTTTCAAGATTTCTTCTTCCAATTGTAACAAAAAATTATAATTTTCCTGTAACAATATATTATAAATTATAATATTAAAAATGTCTGTAATTTCATTTCAGTAATACAGGTATTTATCTGTTGTAATGTTTCTGTATTTTCTACATACCTCAATTGCTTTTGTGGGGTTAACCAACAGAGTTCTCACAATGTTAGAACAGTAGCATTTGTAACGTGCTCCCAATGAACAAACAATAACACCAAAGTGAAGAGTAGTATTTTTGTCACTAACAGCGCTAAATTTAAGCGAATAATTTCCACCGCTTTGTATAATTGTAGGGTAACATATTTCTACCCGCATAATATCATTTATGATAGCTCCATCTACACTTTCTGCCAGTTTTGAGTGTATAACTTTCTAAAATTGAGATATATAACTGCAATGTTTCTCTCCACGTTCCGTCTTTATTTACAAATACAGCTCATGTAGAATTGTAGAAAATATACCTTATCCGAGTCTATGATCTCCATTATCTGATCTTTAAGATACTTGGTGAAAACGTCCACAGATATCAGACAAGCTTTCTTTATGGTAATTATCTCACTGTCTTCTTTTGGACACATGACATAAGCAGCTGCAGCACTTACGTCAACCTGTATAATCACATGAAGATAAAGACGTTACACCTTTTCAACTTCTACACGTAGTAAAACTTTCTATCGTTTTGCCTGCTCACCGTATCAAAAGATTCGTTCTTTAAAGCAGCTCTCCATGCATCCATGAAAGCACCTGGGTAATTTTCTTTCGAAAACACTCCCAAAGTTTTGCCTTTTTTACTTTGCTTCATCACTTTGATGAGTTTTCCAAAATTTGCCTTGTCCTCATCAGTCTGCAAGATATTAAAGTACTCCTTAATATGCTAACGTGTTCGATAATAAAATTGTTCTTAGACAAGTCGTGCAACATACATACCCGATCTCTCACAAATAATTTTACAGATGGTACTCCTGTATCTTCAAAATTCTGATTTTCCACCTTTTTCAGAAATTCAATTTTATTCTTACTGGCCAAGAAGTTGATGGAATCCTCTGCCACTAACATTATAGTATCCAGAAGTTCGTAACCAAACAGCCATGTCTAAAACAAAGCACATTCATACGTTTATTTCTGAATCAATAAAAATAAAACAGTCTATCTTATATTGAACATTTCCAGTAAGTTAATTTTCGGTCATTGATATATCTGTGACAAATATTAAGTATAAAATCTTATTACGTAACGTCCTTTTCGAGTGAATAAATAATTCAAGATACACAAAGGACGATAAATGTCCAGAGTCTTGGAGAAATTAGCACACATGTTGCGTCTATTTTACAAGATACTCATAGCGAGGAGAGTCCTCTCAGTTTTCAAATTTCAAATTCTTAAACACACACATGTACACACACACACACTCACACGCACGCACACGCGCGCGCGCACACACACACACACACACGCACGCACACGCACGCACGCGCACACACACACACACATACACACACACACACACACACACCTGTAACGCTGTGGACTTGCTGTAAACCCTATCCTCGTCCTCGTCAAAGTCAGTGCCGACGGCGGAAAGGAGACAATCCATTTTACTGAAACTGTCGTCGGTGCCGACCTCGCCGTCCTGTTGAAATTAAAAGATTGTATAAGATAACGCAACAGTTTTCGGTTGCCGGGATTTCGCATGCACGCGATTTCCGGCACGCTTACCTTCCACGCGGCGTACAGGCGCTTTATGCGCCGGAAAAACATGTCCTTGTCGAGAGACGGGTTTGCCATGATTTCGGCGGTGGATTTTTACTCACGCGGACACTTTCACCTTCTTCAACGCTAAATTATAATCAACGCCTGCGTCGTAAGCGGGCGGGGGGGGAACAAAACATTCAGAAGACGCGTATATGTAACGCCTCGGCGTTTATCACATCTTCCCTTCCGGTTTTCTCGGTGAATTCGCGCGCCGGGTATACAGATCGATTTTATTTCGCGAGTTACAACCGCCGACGGAGACCGCGACGGACACACCGTGAGCTCGTGCGACCCACGTGCGACCACACAAACGCGGAGATGGCGATTATTATAACCAATCCCCGCAACCACACACACGCAACACGCAACGCTATAGTGACGACGAATTTAGGGCCAATTTCACCAACCACAGTTAGCTAAAGTTAGCAGAATTGATCAATAGAAATGAATCCACCCTGCTTTCTATTCGTCGTCAGCTTTTGGACTATAATTTGTGTAAACTGGATTACACGAAATCGAAACGCGTATAACACGAAATATCTTAAATTAAAACGCGAATTGAATACTTTCTCTTCTTATTTTATATTCTTTTCTTTGTAAGCTTCGTAATTTTATGTTGATAATTAATAATAAATATCGCATAATTAGATGTCACTTACTACGTTTACGCGAGCGTTACTTCTGTAGTATAACTTATTACGATATATCACTCGTTTACGGGGAGTAAATTATCGTAAGTTACTACAGAAGTAACGCTCGTGTAAACGGTAGTAACTGTCACTGATCAATACATATAAGTTAAGTTATATTTCTATAATCAATTGGACAATATGTTAATATATATACACTCTACCGGCAGGAATGCCTGGACATAATACATATACATATACATGTACATATATGTCATATACATATCAAAATGTCCAGGCATTCCTGTCGGTCAGTGTACGCATTTCGAACGTTTTCGTGTAATCCGGAATTAATGAGATGTCTTGAATGTACGCAATTTAATTGTATATCTTATATAATATACTATGTAATTTTGTATTATGTAATCTTTTTTGTAATGTATTAGATTTTGCGCTAAACTAATAAACTGTATAAAAAAGTAGAAAAAAACTTATATCCAAAGAAAAGAAGACCGCTGATTGGAATCGGCGGGGGTGGTGGAGGGCCTCTTTACATAAATTAAGTAAAACTATCTAATTCTAAATAAATATGTGATTATATTAAGTAAGTAAGGTCATTGGTACTATATGAAAAAAATATTTTCTTGGATCTAAGTATTTTTTTTTCAGTGTAGATAAAAATCGGGTAGGTAGGGATACGGATAGGTAGAGATGCGGGAGGGATGATTCGATGACGAAAAGAAATTACTTTATAATTTTAAGAATTTTAAATTTATTTTTATAAAAGTGCAATCATGTATAAAGGTTAAGAATTATGTAAAGCATTACATTCTGTTGTATAAAACTGTATAAAATGTAATTGTATAAAAAAATGTACCTATATGTCTAATTTGTGTAATCTGAGTTACATGAAATCGAAACGTGTATATAACATAAATTTTTCTAAATTAAAATGTTATTAAATATATTTTTTTAATTTCTTATTTTATCCTTCTTTAATAGCGAAATTATCGGCATTTTTTAAATAATGTATAATAAGAATTTTTTATTTAAATAAAAATACAAAGATTTCAGGCTAAGCTAGTGATCGAATATTAACTTTTTACTCGTGAAAATTGACATTTGCATTTTACTGAGTCGCGAATGCATTCGAGAAAATAGTTCCGATTCAGGAGTTATATCCTCAGAAGCATATATCGTCAGCTACGAGTCAAAAGTCTCGAAATTGCTTGTTCCTAAATTTAGGAAATTAATTTAGAACTAAATTAATTTCTTAAATTTCTTTCCGCGGTAAATATTTGTGAAAGGCTATGTGAACACTGCGTTTTTTCCACGTTCGTGATTGCGATTGCTGCCTCGGCGATGAGCCTTATCGCTGTCCCTCTTCTCAGGTGAACGCTAGCAAATGCGTGGTTCGTAGCGGCGTAAAGTGAATATGATCTTTCTCGTGATGAGTAATTTTTTGTCGGTTTTCGTGAGCTCTGTCTGCGACGTCTAATTCGGCGTCTCGTCGAAAGTTGGAGGCTATACCGTTGCAGAGACCAAATTAATCCCAGGTTTTCTTAGCTGTTTTCGGAAGCAGTGATTTTGGCAGTGAGTCCATAACGACTACCACATGTTTAATAATCGCTAAATTAATTATTATATTCTAGAGAAGATTTTATTCTTCTCATATTTAACATATTTATTGAGGTAACGGATGTGTGGCAAATTATTAAATATACTTACCATATATCTAAATAATTGTATGCAATTTGATGACACCAAAACAGTATACTACACATCAGAATATAGCATTCTATACACCCGTTGCCTTAAAATCAGTTAAAACAGATTAGGTTAAATTTAATCCTGGACGTCTCTTTATTATTCTATTATTTATTCTGTATTTATTAGTTAATTTAATGTGCATGCATATATTTATTGTCAGTCAAATGAGAATGTATCCAGGAATACACTTTATATAAGTCAATGCAAAAGAGCAATATATATAATATATATTGTTTTTTAAGACAGTCTTTCAATTTCCATCATGATTATATATACGTACATATTATAATAATGAAAAGATAAGAAATGTTTTAGTATCGAGTAATATATTTCGTAATACAATTTATAAATTTTTTTCGTAAAAAACAATCTTACAATTATTAATTATTATTTCAAATTTTAACGCATTGACTTTAGCCTAAACCGTTATAGCTTATTCATACTTTGTAGTTTCGCACTCGTTATTGTTATTTTTCGCAATCTGCATTGGGGAATGAACATTGGCCGATTTTGACGTTGAACGCATTTCGCTACCCATTAAGATTTGCTTTAATTTCGGTTTAATTCAATTCTTAGAATTAAATGTTAATTATTAAAAGATAGAAAGCAAGTTAAATTTTTTTCTCGAGATTAAAGTTAATCTACATCAGTAGAAATGGATATAAAGATTTTATAACAACTGTGCGCGATATTTAAATATCGCTAGTTGAAATACAACTTGGGAAAAATTTTTTAACATCGAACTTTTTATCTACTTTTCATTCTTTCTCTCTCTCTCTCTCTCTCTCTCTCTTTTTCTCTCTCTCTCTCTCTCTCTCTCTTTCTCTCTAACGTCCAGTAGCGTATACGTTCCATTTGAAATGCAATATTTGCAATATAACGGAAAGTAGAACGGGGCAGCTGCAAAGAACGAACAACCAGCGTTTTCAAATCGCCGGATGTGTCGTGCATCCGTGAACCATGGACAGGCCGGAAGTACGCGATTCTCGAGTCAACCTCGTCGTTAGACGAAATTTTCAATAAGTTTTTTTCCAATTGCTCGCACGTTCTCTTCCATCGATCCGTCAATAAAAAATTGCAAGAATTATTTATCGTCCCGCAGTCAGAGAGAAGTCGAAAATACGTCCCATTTAGGTCAATTTAGATCGACGTCGCGCACAGTCGCGCAGTCGATCACCTCCATCACTTCGACTCCATCTGTCGAGTCGTTGAGTGTCGATCTGCCTCTATCGCGACGAGGATCTCAGGTGCGTTGCAGCGCTTTATTATCACATCTCGTCGTGTTATTTGTATTTTCGTTGATCGGGAACGCCGTGCTAGAGCATCATGCCAAAGAATAAGGGTGAGTGCGACTATGGTTCCATCGCTTACGTCTTTTTCCTTTGGATCCCCGCAATTTTTCCATCGTCACGATTTATCCCACCGATATGGTTAAGTTAGCTAACCTAATTCGTGTCAAGATCGCTCTCGAGGCGAGCTGAGTCTCGTATCTTACCCCCTCGCGCGTCTCATCGGGAGCGTTGTCACGCGAGTCACACATGCTTTGTTCGTAGGAAAGGGAGGTAAAAATAGGAGAAGAGGGAAGAATGAGAACGAGACCGAGAAGAGAGAGCTGGTGTTCAAGGAGGATGGACAAGGTGAGTACGGACGACGCGACGATATCCACCTCGGGAACGAGCATCGGTGACTCACTCGGTGTTTGTTTTGCAGAGTATGCTCAAGTGACAAAGATGCTGGGCAACGGTAGGCTAGAAGCCATGTGCTTCGACGGGGTCAAACGGTTGTGCCACATTCGAGGTAAGCTGCGGAAGAAGGTGTGGATTAATCAGGGTGACATCATACTGATTGGGTTGCGAGACTATCAGGATGCCAAGGCAGACGTTATATTGAAGTACACGGCTGACGAAGCGCGGAACTTGAAGACTTACGGCGAGTTCCCAGAAACTGGTAAGTGGCATTCCACATTATTCTGTCCTAGACGTTTGTGAACAATTGCAAAGTGTACTTTTTTTAGTAGAACTTTTCTAATTTTTGGTAAAAATAATTTTGAAAATTAATTATTAAAATTTTGTTTAAAAAAATCTAAAGAATTTCTCTTTTATGTCTTTTCTAACGTGAAATTTTCTCTTAGTGCGTATCAATGACACAGTAACCTTCGTGGAAGATGGATTCGATGAAGATATCGAATTTGGTGATGAAATTAGCGATGACGATGAAGATGATGTTGACAATGTAAGTTCTCATGTCTTTTTGAAATTTTGTACACATTTTATCTTATGATACATCATAAATTGTTTTTATTCTCTAGATCTTCTCTATACTTATATTACTTTCTATGCAATAACATTAAAAAAGCTTGGCCTCTTTGTTTTCTTTTCAATGTATGCAATAATATGATATACCATTGTCTTTACAGATCTGATGACCCGCAGTGTAATGATAAAAAAAGGTACATTACGAGAAAGTGTATGGGGACATCTAATCATTTCACAAAATGCAATTATACAACGTCAAAGTTTCCCTTTGAGTCGAGTAGCTCATCTCCCTGTATGTATCTATAAATAAATCGTCAGTTTATGGGTAACATCGTGTTCCAGTTTGAGTGTAGTCGTTTTTGATATTTATAAATTTTTATAGGAACATGAATTCTTTTCAAATAGCGAAATTACAGATATTTAGCATATTCAATTAGATTTCGCGTACACGTCAGATTAATTAGATCTGTGTACGTAAACAATACCAACTTTGTACGATCGTTTTTCTTTGTATATTTCCTTTTTATTTACATGTATTATTATCTGCCAGTTCGTGAAATATACATATTATTTAAGCAGAAAATGAAATATAACACTATATGTATAACATGCAGTAAGTACTCTTTTTATATGTTGGAATGTCTCACTAAAAATTATCCATCGAGAAGCGAGGTAACGTACAATTAGACTTGTAAAATTTTGATGAAATTTAGAACTACTACAACTAGTGTAAATTGCTAATTTAATAAATTAAAAAACGCGTGAAGGGGGACAAGCTTTCAGTAACTTCTCTGTCTTAGCGCTGTTTTATTATAGCTTTGATCGGTTAATTAACACACGTTGTTAGTAATCATATAGCTACTCAGTACAAGTAACGCGTGCCAGATATAATTCTCAGGACACGCGTTTTGTTATGTACGTATCCGTGCAATCGTTCAGTGCATGTTACTCTTCGTTGTATCAAAAGGGGACTACAATGTGTACGCTGCATTTCGACAATATCATTAGCAACGACGAAAGTGTGCAAGTTATTTGCATCGTTTTTGTCTCAGAATCCAGGAAATAATATGTTATTGTTTAGTTGATTATAATATTGAGCGGAACAATAATTTGTGAATTTGGACTTTTTTCGTCGTTTAAATAAAATTGCGTATGTATAAATGGAGAAAAAAAATACTTACATTCCCACACTTTTTCCTCGCAACTTCCTTGTAACTTATCGATTAGAAGAAACAAAGCAAGATTTATATAGTATCATTATTTTTATAATATGAAGAATATATACTTACGTAAAATTATCTTGTTCAGTTCATATCCGAAATAGCTGGTCTTTCTTCTCTTTTTTAAATAATATATGTTTGGAAAGAAGGTTTAGATGAAAGGAAAGTGTACGGAAAGAATAGTTGACTATCGATTATTCATTTATCGGATGCCTAAATATGAATGAAAGAATGAGATGGATCAGGTGTCCTTTCTCCCCTTCTTATCTTTCCATTGCAGAGGACGTAGTAATTCTGATGCAACATTTTATTTATTATGCCGCTGATAGTCTATCACACAATAGTATATAGTAAATTATAGTCTCTTTCGTTTTTTTGACGCCATGCAATGCCATTGTAATGATAGCTTAATGTCATAGTATTGAGGAGGGACATGTAATTAGCATAGGGGGAAATATGTTTGACTGCTTGACGTGTTACGTTGTCTACGAAAATTAACTTGTACAAAAGTATGTGAGATATAAAGCATCGGCTCGGCACTGGCATGTCAATGCTCCAACGATGATAAGTGGCGCTGATATTACATGCGTTCCAAACATACGTTCTTGTCATTAACGTCAATAGCGTAAAACGATACAAAGTACTGTTGCACATGAAATATATCGTCTGTATAACTGCGTTTCATATATAAAGAAGTACGATGCGTACAAAATATTCCTTCCCTCGTGAGATAAATCGCGCCACATCGTTGATAGCACTGAGGCACCAGCGTCGCGGTATTCGTAGTGGATTATATACTAAATGTTACGACAATACATGGGAGCATATTATTTTATTTTGATGCGCGTGTGATTGTGCCTTTGGTCCTTAGGTCAGATAGGCTCTAGGCAAGTCTATTAAACGTAGTATAACAGTCATTATAGATAATAATTTATAAACTTCAGATAGCATAATCATTATATCTTTCAATATATTATACATTAATAGAATAGCTTATTTAAATTTTGCTTTTCTTTTAAATATATTTATATATTATGATGATTTTCCATCCTCCCCTCTTGCGCTCATTAAAATTGTGTCGTACACTGAAAGCTAACATATCGGCTTAGATATTAAAACGAATTCGCATCGCCCGGATTTCAGACAACATAATCTCTACATTGTCGCGTGTCGTTAGCTGCTATTTTAGTTTACACTGGTTCACGTGGATGACAACGTCGACAGTATGATCGTATCGAGCTTACAAATTAACGAGCGAGTAACATTTATCCAAGGGCTCGCTATATAAATAAAATATTCCTGTTAGCGTCTTACAATTATTACAATCGTGTCCATAGTACATTTATTTATATATATATATATGTATATGTGTATATATAATATATATATTATATATAAGTCATATGCTAAGAAATTATCATATATACAATTAAAAACTGTTAGGAAATATCCTTTAAACAAGTTAAATTTATACATTATGTGTTCCGATGCATAAAAACATTTCTCTCTGTTAATCAAATCAACACGGCCGGTGCGCGCGATGATCCGACACCTCTCGCGGCTCGTCGTATCTTTTTTTTTTTTTTTTATTGTGCTTAAACTCGCGACTTGAGTCGAGTAACAACAAGAAATTCTCTTATTCCCATTTTTCGGAAACTTCGTCAATTGTCCATCGCCGAAAGTGTTAATAAAGAATATATATATTCATATGTATTGCCGATCTATCAAGCGATATATTGCGCGGATTGAGATGTATAATCATCCTGAAGCTTAAACGAGCTATTCTCACGAGAACCTTACTAATCTAGGCGATCGCCGATATCGGCAGATCGCTCGCTCGATCTTATCTTGTCGCGTTCTCGCCTTTTTCGCGTCTCTGCTTCCCCCCATCGTCTCCGCCTGATACTTTCCTTCCCTTCCATTTCGCATTATATCTTCAGACAACGCGAGAAAGGCGTTGCACATACATGGACGGGTTGGCATAGTGAAGACTAGCGCGGATCGGCTAGTCGGACTAGCAACGACATACGCAGATACATTTTGTCATTATCATCATTATCATCATATCGATCGCGAGATTCCGACGAACGTAAAGAGGTAAGGCAACCGAGCGGAACGGAAAGGCAAGCAAATTCGAAGCGTAGGCCATGAGCGTGATAGTAAATCATCGTGCATGCTTTTGCGTGGCTTAAGAGAGACAGCATCCCGAGGGGGGGGGGTGCGTTATCACGCATCTCCAGTCTTATCGAGAATCGTAAACTCGTCGCTCGACGCTCGAGGATGCGCCGAGTCGAGTCCGAGGTCCATCGAGATGCCTCCCTCGGTGAAGGATTCGAGGATCGACGAGGGAATCGATGCCGAGAACCCGACGGTGATTTCTTCTCTTCTCATCGAAGGGTGGAAACGCACGCGTCACTTCTAATGATCCTTCTTCTCCTCCGTCATGAACGTGTCCATGAGCTTCTGCATCGATTCCCGCAAGTCGTCCGTGCCACCGGCCCCCACAGACGATATCGTCCTCGCTTCCGTTCGCGTGGTCGTTACGCTGCAAAAGACGATTCTCTCAAGATTACGTTTATCTACATTTGCATTTCTCTTCTCGATTTTTCGACGCGCCGCAATTGTCGCACAGCGCGATGAAAAATCTTTAAATGATCCCCGAACGGCATCGTGATCAGAGCAGATGGAAGCAAGTTTACTTGCTTCCATCACCGTAGAAGACAATAATTAACATACCTTGCCGTTGATACATTAAAAGAAAAGAAAAAAAAAGTAATTTGTATGTACCTTTCCTGTGTGACAGGATCCACCTCGATCGTTGTCGTTTCCATGAAGGATGGCTCGCTATGTTGCAAAAAGTCAGATTCTGCGACAACAAACGAGAACAAATCAAACACCCTGCTTCGCTGCGCTTCGCGAACGCGGCGGATTTCACTATTTCGCTGCTGCGTGTTTTTACATAGAGAACAAGTACGAATTGTATATATATAGATATATATAGATATATATATATATCTTTCAATTTTACATCATGCCCAAAACAAGGGGGTAAGACTAGACACATATAAAAAAAGTTACAACACCGCTAAACATTTGACGATACATAATATATATATATGTTGTATGTATATATTACGCATTTTCACTCAACTAGCCAAAAACTATATGCAACCGTTTTCCTCACGTGTGATCATCTCCCTCCTCGGCACGTTGATCACGGCGGATATTGTACGCCTCGCGTGACTTATACTTGTACAACTTTTACTGTGTCCACTACTCGTTTTCTCGTACTGTGATGCTAATTACTTTTACACGTGTGCTACAAGCTGTAAGTCATCTCAAACTCGGCCGAATTCCTATGTCTCGATGTGTCGAATTTAAACGTGTCGCGTAGCGATCGATCTCCATGAGGGAGTCTAAATAAATCATGGTACAATCGACGAGGAGGTGATTTCTCGCTACATCTTCTGTTTGTTCTTTCACGAGAGGCTTCCTCGTCGATCCTACGACGATTTCCCCTCGTTCATGTAGGAGAAGATAAAAGATAATTGCACGTTACTCTGACTGAGAATCCTAAATAGCAGTCTGATGGATCTAGTTTTCGGTTCTTCGGTCCCAATCGCGACAGGACTTTTATAAAATCTACTAATTGTTTTATAAAATCCTTTTAGATGCGAATGTGGAAAAATGCTAGTCAATGAGATTAAAAATCAATACCGAATTAATTTTGATTTTAAAAACTGTAGTTAGACAATGCTTAGCTTAGAATTTGTTGATTACCCTTTGAACATACGTGTGTAATTGTTCTGCTATTTAGGATCATTTGAAGAATCAGTTACGTTTCATAGGAAGACAGCATCGTTGTAAGACAGCGCTTACGAGACGAACGCTCGTTGATCAGTATTTAATTAAATACGGCGACATTATTACTGAGCAATATTCAGAATACTTCTCAGTACGATTGTGCTGCGCGCAGCGAGCTCGTGTGAAGCGCTGATAAAAGCCGCTGAACAAAGCATTTAGCAGTTAGTCGTAAGAGATGTAGGTACTCAACGTTCTCGGTACAACAGAAGATTATACTACGGTAAAAACTGAAAGTGGTGTTTCCTCGACAGTTCGGCAAATATATCCAGATATTATGTACATTTTGAAAATGCGGTAATTGTGGCAAAGATGAATAATCGATTCGGGATCTCAACGGCATCCGAGGTGAAGCAATGACTCTGAGGACACAGGTCAAAAAAGACTTTATAGATATTTTTATATACGACGAAATACATCGTTCTTGGGCAAAGAGCGTTATCGGAATTTAAACTCGAAAAAAAGGGAAGTTATCACAGATATCACGATTCTAATGCGCGAGTCTACCGCCCTTTGGTTTTGACCGTAGTTTTGCACAAAACGCTCCATGAGATTTGGCAGCCATTTCATGGGAGCCCGTACTAACTACTAGTTAGTATTGTTAGACGAACGGTCAGGTATTACTCGAGTATTATTACGGATATTCGGTGATATTAATTTCCCGATGCGGAAAGGACGTTAGTGCATCCTCGCGGAGATTTCAAATTCTTCGGAGCGACGATAAATCATTTTACTTGAGACGATCTTCACTGGCACGTCGAAATAGGAAATGTATTGTGCGGATTGGAAAACTCAAGTGTTCATAAGGATACTGAATGAATAAAGCGTCAATCAACACGTGGACACTAGCTATATCGAAATGATTGTTGCGTCTACAGTTCGAATTAGCGGATCGCTAATAAGAAGAACGAAACAGGCTCGAGGGATGCGAGGAAGAAACACGAGTGTCTTCTGTCTCGGTTCTCCGTCCCCACGGGGATTGAAACCGGATGTAATTCCGGGGAGTCCGTCTTTCGATGCGTCGAAATGGTGCTGAGAGATCCAAACTCGCCGGAGTTATATCGGTTCTTAGTCCCTTTCGCACTGCCCTTTGACGTACGTTTGCAGTTCTGCGGGATCGGAAGGGGGTCAGACTCGGTGATGAACTCGTTAAGAAGCCGCGCAGCACATCGGTCAGTGCAACGCAACTCGCTTTCACATCGTTGCGGCGAAAAGAGAGTTGGTTTAATGCCGTTTCGGGAAGTAGCCGTGTGTATATACTCATCCGTATATCGACAGAATCCGAAGCAAGCTTGCACACCTTGTGCTTGCACACGTATATAGGCACGATACATATACATACACTTAGAAATTACTTACATGACGATTCGCCTAACAATCCTAACGTGACTAAAAAAACACGATTGGTCCCTCTACACTTTAGCTTTATCTTGAGTTGCTTATTGTCAGAAGAGAGCTAGAGGGGTAATAGTGATCTATAGGATGCTCGAAACTAAAACAAAAAGAAACACAAGGAGGAAGAAAGAAAGAAGACGAAAATGGAGAAACGAAAGATAAAAAGAAAGGAGAGTAGGAGCTCTTCTTGGTACGGCAAGGGTACGTGCAACTAGGCGTAAAACATATCTTTCCATTGATCGGAGCGGGAAAATCGTCGTGCCCCGACAACGAGGCACTGCGCAAAAGTAAAACAGTTACTACGGGCGTAGACTAAGGTTCGTACGATGCAAAGATGCAATCATGCGAGGGGAGTGTCAATACTCATGCAGGCCGTTACTCCAGAAAAAGAAAGCTTGCGGAACAAAAGTTCGTCGATCGCGGGGATTTACCTGTCCTCTCGAAATAAATGACAATTTATCACACATATGTGACGTGATGTACTCGGTATCGGTACAGGTGGCCCTACGTGTGACAGAAGGCAGTTCAGTTTTACAAGTTGGTCATTTGTTGCACATTTTTTCTACCTTCCTTGCTGTTCGCCAGAATTGTTAAGACTACTGCTGAAGTTCGAAAATTATTACGCGGACGAACTAGCTTCGAAATCATTTCGATCGCAGATGGCTCGAAAAACGTAAAAATAGATTTCAGTCTTATATACGAATATTCGATAAATAAATATGTCTATCGATAAAGTTTTGTGCTTTATCGCTGGGACATTGCATACTTTGTAAATATATTATTGATACAAGCCCTAAGGACTCTCCATAATCGCGAGGATGTGTATCAATTGATTACCTACGTACAATTTTCTTCAAAAGTGACACGTTTAATTTATCAATTACTTGATGTGTATTATAACTTCAGAATTTCTGAATCGTTATACTTCTAAATACACAAGCAAACTAATAAGAATAATCGCTTATATCATTTTTGTAGGCAAAAGTTCAAGCTAAAAAAAGAACAGAACAATGTGAATCATGTCACTTTCGAAGACAAGATACAATATTGATTGGTTGCTTAGATTTCTATCCTGATGGCCGTAAAAGTTTGACCTGGCTTTTAAAAGAGATTTAATGTTATAAAACGATATACTCTTTAGTAGAAAATAAATAATAAAGGGTAATCGTACCCGGCTTGCCTCGGGACATTGTTAGACAGGGTATAGATGTCACGCTGAAATGTTTGTGGCTCCAGGACAAGTATAAGCGCTACTAGAAGTACCAGCACAGCGACAGCTATGCTCATCCAACACGCGCAGCTGGTTCTACCGGATGTCTTCGTCCTAGTCTTCGGTTCTATCCTATTGCCCGAGCAAACCGACCGTACCATATTGTGTGTTTCTGCTACTTAAAGATTATCAAATTCATTGCTTTGAATTATCATCGGATATGTAAATTTCGATAAGTTGATTGATTGATTCAGATTGACTGACTGATTGATTGATTGAATGATAGCTCCACCGCGATGTGATTAGTATGAGGAAGCCGAGAATAACAGAATAGCCACATTTTGTCTCGAAAGTCAAAGTCGAGATTATCGTAATGATTACCTAACCGTAATGATTTTATCCAATTACTGATAGATTAATTAATTAATTAATTGATTGGTTAATTTTATCATTATTCAAAAATATACTCACAATTAAACTCTCGGTCTGCAATATATTTAGCAATATTTCAATTTGTCGCCAAATTGGAAGTTTCGAAAGACGCATTCGAGATTTAATCCCAACTATCGTCGCTGAATTTTATGAGCAATGAAAATAATCTCATACAATTTTTGGAAAAACTTCTGTAAATTGGCTCATACCGTCTAGCATTAAATAATTAGATGTGTGCGCTGAATTTATGCCCCGTGAAGATTTTTTAAACGCTTATCGCGATCTTTGTACGATCTTTCTTTTCGTTTGTTGCAAATCGTTTGTTATTTCGTCAGCGCCATTTCGACAAAATCACGCGAAGATACTTTGGGGTACGTTTAAATCTTTCTTTTTACTTTTCTTATCGCCGAAAGCACAATCAGCGCGTCGACGTGTGATAGATATGCGTTCGATCATGGCTGATCGCCAATGAGCCTCAAATGAAAGTATGCTAGTCCCAGGAAGCCCCTGATCAGAAGATTCCATACATTCTGTAGCCAAGACCAACGGAAAAACAAAAAAAGTAAGAGAACGACGTTATATCGTCGTCGAACGTTTCCCAAACGAGAAGCAACACTAAAATCGATTAACCATTAACCGCACATGTCACAGTTTCTCGCAACGCGCCCACGAAGAGGAGTATACCGCGCATTTTATACAGACTTATATACGACTGCATTTGACAAGCTTTATTTTTCCTAGCGGGTCGTTACCCTTCTGTACGTTTAATATCATCATGCGCAGTAAGACGGTTCTTATCTAAAACATCACAGATCATGCAATTCCCAAGCGAACAATTCCCATTTTGCTTCTTGCGATCTCAGTTCCAAGCAGCAATAAAGAGTCAAAGGTCCTCCCAACTAAAAGTTAACGGAAATTATGTGTTTCAACATGTTTTTGAAAATATCTCAAATAAGTTCCACCACTCAATATGTTAATTATTCCCATCGGACAATTGCGAACATCGAACGTGCTCTTATCATGCAACTAGCGGGAGGTACGGGAAAATGCATGGGAGTTGCGTGCAAAGGTAGCAAAGGGATTCAACACCAAAGCTCAACCGTGTAGTAATCTATATACAGATATATATATCTTTTTTTTTTCTTTTAAGGGCTCGTTCGTTCACATAATCCGGGAGGTAACCGATTAGCGAGGGGGGTTTTCAAGGGGTATGTACATTGCTTATGCAGAAGGTTAGCTGTGAGAGTGCGGTACCTTGGTCGTCCTCCAACGGGGACAGCTCCGCACCTTCGTGCAGTGCTACATCCGACCCGCTGGAACTGCCCAACGTACGCCTCTTGCTCGGGGATCTTCTTCTAGGTTGCGGCGAACCGTCACTATCGGTGTCGCTGTGCATATCGTGCCTCGAACTACCATCGTTCTTGTTGTTGTTATTGTTGTTGTTGTTGTTGTTGCTGGCAAACGTGTCAACGCCGCCGCCGTTCCCGGAACCGGGCGACGTGTCTTGGGAATACTGCGCCTCCCACTGTTCGTTCGCCGCTGTCCACGAGGCGGTCTCACCGATCTCGGATCTTGTTAATTGCTCCTGGAGACTTCTCAGAGCGGACTCCGCGTCCCCGAAGCCACCGCCGCCGCCGCTGCTAGAGATCACCGTTCTCACTACCCTCTCGGTTCTCTCGATCTCCGGCATCTCCGTCGTCACGCGTCGCACAGTCGTGACCGTCTGCACGACCCCGTCGGACTCTGATTTGTCAGTCTTTAGCGTAGTGGTGGAAGAGTCCGGAAATTTGTCGCCGAAATCGAAGATCTCGCCCGGTAGCGTGCCAGCGACCTGATTTATTGTCTTGACAACCTCTTCGCGCGTTACAGGTTGCAAAGCATCATCATCCGACGTCAGAATCACGGTCCTCACCGTCTCTACGATACCGCCCGTCTTCAAGAACTCCTCCAGTTGCGTAGGATCGATCGATGGGTCGCTGGTCACCATCGTAGTCGTTGTTCGTCGTATTTGTTCTATCGAGGGAGCTATCTCCGTTCTGCTGCTTATGGTAGTTTCGGTCGGGTCATCCGCTTTGATAGTATCTTTGATCAACTCCCCATCCGTGTATTCTCTGGTAACGAATTTGACGGTTCTCGAAACTGCTTGTGGACCGACGATACGGTCTTCCGAAGACTCTAACGGGACGGATTCAGGTTCGTCACCCAATTTAGGCGCGTTAGGGTCGACTTTAACGGGTATCTTGCTCTTTGGACTCTTGCTCGGCGACTGCGCCTCCTGCGTCGGCTTGGGCGGCTGCTCGACCGTTTTACGTGTTCGTGAGGCATCACTGAGCTCCAGATGGAACTCGGGTTTGGTAGACGGCTTGGTGGTGGAGTGACGCGGGGCGGGAACAGGTTGTTTTGATGGAGCAGAAGTAGCATGCCTCTCTACAGTCCCATCAATCTCAGCCGAATCATGCCCTGACCCATCCAAAAGGACGTGGACAAGAACAGGAACAAGGACATAAAGCACATTGATACACACTAAGAATTTCAACTCTAGCCCAGCTGCCAAAGTTGGACCGGAAAGATTCGGAGCGTGTCTGCCTCGCATACGCATGTGTACGCGCGTTATGCACTAATAAACGAGAGACTCGCGCCTGGTGCACGCATGCACGCACGTGGGATCTGGGAGAGACGATCCCGAGGAGGGATCTCGCCTCGCGCGTGATGCGTGTGCACGTGCACCGCGGCTCTGCCCGCGTATATAGTTTTATTTTTTAGTTAGTATCAATATTGCAACCAGGATTAGTCTGTTATCAAAAACGAAAGAGAGTACACTCATTAAAAAACGGTGTTTGGTCGTGGCGCCTGAGTCTTACTAAAATGTACCACTGTGGAAGCAGAAGAACACGCCGAGAGCGTTCGAGAATTTGCTCCTATTTTTTAAAATATTCTAAATAATTTTTCTCCAAGCACGCAATTAATTGAAAAAAAGTAAAATATAAATTATGTCCCTTTTACTGTATTTTTTCACCTCCTCGCCGGTATGACGATGCTACAATTTACTGGACAGTTATACGTTGTATAACTGGCTAAAACTACTCGACGAGTATATGCTATGTACAAATTGGCTTTTCGAGCGAGAGCTTTTATCGCAATCTCGCGAACGAGAGCTACCTCTATAAGTTCTCGGCAAAATAAAGAAAATAGAGATCGGTAACTATTTAGTAAGAGACGTGCGCACAGTATCAGTTAGTGTGAAAGCGTCGGCAGGTGCTAACTATGGAAGATAAAGCTAAATATAAATGAGGGCACCAAAAAACAGAGTCTGCTACCGTTACTGATCTTCGATCGGAGATGATGATCCGCGTACGTGAACTCTTTTACATTTTACTCGAGTCGATTTTACGTTACCTGCTTTCGTCGAGGTGTACGCCTGATCCGCCAGGTTCTGTGCCCGTCGCGCAGCCTCTTTGGTCACGTCTGAAATGTTCACACAGAGAAACACATGAGTTCACATCGGGAATCGGCAAGTACGACATTAAAAGCAGTGATTCAACAAAGATTAGATGATGGATGATGCTTTTTTTTTCTCTGCATGGCATACCTCGGTTCATGCTTCGCTAGTTGTGGTATACCTGTTAATTTCAATGAGACATAATTACCGCATAATCGTAAACACGTGATCTCTATATGTTATACGCTACAAACGAAAAAAAAGAGACACGACTGGCGACAAAATAAGATTCCGATGTTCGAGAAGTAGTACTAGGAAAATTATATCCATCGTGGTAAGATACGTTTAAAAAATAGCGTAAAAACCTGGAATCATGCATTAAACGGGAGTTAACAAAATCATTGTTAAAACTAAACTAAAAATAAGTATAGCAAATAATTAAACGTAGTACATATAGGTATATCGTTTATTCATCTCGGTATCGACCGAATATCTTTCTGAATCTTCGTACTATGACGAACGTTTCTGATTTGGATTTCATCTAAAATATAATTAATATATAAATAATCAAGCGCATTTCACTCTCGTGTAAAATTAATTTTAATTAACAATATACCCATTCGATATACACATGGAAACATAAAGAAAATCCAAAACAGTACGCAGAAAATTATAATAGGAACAAGCGGTAGTATGAATGTCTCAGATGTTGTCGATTGGTTCTACGGGTTGTAAAACGATGAATTAGTGGACTGGAAATGATTGAGAGATTAGAGTGTTAGGTCTCATTAATGAATGACGAAGGTGCATGAATGTATATATATGTATATATATCTCTCTTTTTTTTTTGCTCTCTGATGTCACGAGAATAACTATTAAAACTGAAGTTACAGAGAAGCGTCAACTTAATCATTAATCATGTTACACACAGCTGGTATATGTAATATATAATATATAGATATAGATATGGATATATAACGCAAGATTATTGCAAGATACCTTCGGTTCTACTGTCAGTGAACTCGGCGAGTGAACTGGGTGGCGGTGGAGTCGTTCGCACAGACTTTGTCACGACTGTGGTGACGGAGTGCCGTGTGCGAGGCTCGGGGTGCCCTACCGTGGGTACTGTACTCTCTACTACTCTACGCGAATTGTCCGAATCGTCCGCGGCCGCTTCCTTACCCGGGCTAATCTTTTGTGGAATGCGAGATACTTTCTTAACGCTAACTGTTTCGGTTAAATGCTCGACGCCACCGGACGTCTCCGGCCTACCAGCTACCTCCGACCTACGAACAACCTCCTGAGTACTCTCGCTTGAGCGTCTCGATCCTACTCTACCACCGACTCTTTTCGTTTCCGTTTCTGTTACTTTGCCCGTTCTTTTAATGACGGGCGAAGCTTTGTCCGTGGTTTTCGCGTCCGCTGGTGATTTTGACACCTTCGGGGGGGTGATGCTTTTCCTTGTGGCTTTGACGGCGCCGACAGATTTGTTCTTCGCGTCAGTGGTCGACTTGGCGGATTTATCTTTCGCTTGAGCGAGATTGCTCTTAGCGCGAGCTTCCTCCGCGGTTGCCTCCTGCTTGGTCTCCTCCAGGAACTCTTTCATGTCATCCGTCGCGTCTTCTACCGCGTGCTTGGCGCTCTTCACCACGCCTGATAGAAAACCGCCTGCTTTTTGCTTGACCTTTTTAGCTTCTTTCGTGGTTTTATCCGCAGCAGTCTCCGCTGTACTGGCGACTGCACCCGCGCCAGTTGCCAGCTTCCCTCTGACCACTCGTGCGTCTTCCTTCGTTTCGCTTACAACGGCGTCTTTCGTGCGTTTAGTCCTCTGCGTTACATCTTGACCAGTGGACTTAACTTTCTCACCGGCTTGCGACACACCACGTCCTATCTTACTTCCCACCGCTTTCACAGAGGAAACCGTTTTGTCCTTCGCACCTTTTATACCGGAAAGACTCTTCTCCTTAGCGTCTTTCGCACCCTTCGCAGCTTTGTCTGTAGCAGTTTTAATTTCACCGGCGGCTTTATCCTTCGTCTGTCCGAGTTCCTTCAACCTCGCCGCCGCGGCCTCTCTAGCAAGCGCTTCATCAGTAGCTGCCTCCTGTCTGGTTGCTTCCAAAAAGTCTTTCACATCGTCGGTAACTTTCTTTCCTGTTTGCTTTGTATCTTGAATAACTCCAGACAGGATATCCGATCCCTGGTCCTTCGCCTTTTTGGCGTCTTTCGCAAGCTCGTCTTTGGCCGCTTTGACGCCGACAGCGACAGTATCGGCTCTCGTTAATAATTTCTCCTTCACCGCCTTTTTATCTTCTTTTATTTTTTTATCGAGACTTTCTCTGGCACCCTTTATACCATGTGCGATATCCGTGGTCTTGGATTCTAGTTTCTCACCGACTTTCTTCGTTTCAGCCGCTAGCTCATGAACTGCAGTCTTCGTGGTGTCTGCTGTTTGGGCCACCGTCTCGGAAATTTTATCTTTAGCGTCTTTGACGTCAGCTGCCAATTCTTTTGTAACGTCCTTTGCACTATCGACAACAGCATCTTTCTTGTGTTCCAATTTCTTCAAACCAGTCGCAGCAGTTTCTTTAGCACGAGTTTCTTCCAATTTCGCTTCCTGCTTCGTCTCGTCCAGAAATTCCTTGACATCGTCCTTTGCGCTCCCGACAGCGTGTTTCGCGCCTTTAACGATTCCCGAGAGAAAACCGGATCCCTTTTCCTTAGCTTTCTTCGCTTCTTTAGTTGCCTTATCTTTAGCTGCTCCAGCACCATCGGTCACAGCTTCGGCTCCCGCTGCCAATTTCTCTTTCACCTTTTTCGTATCATCCTGTACTTCCTTAACAACTGCATCTTTGGTATCTGCAACTCCTTGGGTAACAACTCGCGCTGTCGAATCTAATTTTTCACCAGCTTCTTTCATTTCTGAGGTTACTTCGTCTTTAACAGCTTTGACCGCATCAGTAGCTTTATCAATATCTTCGGAGATTTTCTCAGTCACTTTTTCTTTCGTATCTTTCGCTGCGGCAACAGTCTTATCCTTGACATCTTTTACTCCAGCAACAACTCGATCAGTTGTATCTTTTACGCCAGTAACGACAGTATCCTTCTTATGTTCTAGGTCCTTCAATCCAGCCGCTGCTGCTTCTTTAGCACGTGCTTCTTCCAGTTCTGCTTCGCGTTTCGTTTCGTCTAGAAATTCTTTGACGTCGTCTGTTGCGCTTTCAACGGAATGCTTGGCGCCTTTAAATATACCCGACAGAAAACCAGATCCTTTCTCCTTTGTTTTCTTTGCTCCTTTGACCGCTTTATCTTTAGCTGCCTCGGTACCGTCGGCTACAGCGCCGATACCAGCTGTCAACTTTTCTTTTGCTAATTTTGCATCATCTTTCACTTCTTTAGCCGCTGCATCTTTAGTATCCTTAGCAGCTTGTGCAACATCTGCCGTGGTATCTCCTATTTTTTCACCGATTTTCTTTGTTTCTGCTGCTATTTTCTCACCGGCTGCTTTCGTGGTATCGGCAACTTTCTGCGCATCTTTCGATACTTCCTCGACAACTTTATCCTTTTTATCTTTTACTGCAGAAACTGTTTTAGCTTTTGCATCTTTCGCGTCAGCGACAGTTTTGTCTATAACTTCTCGAACTTCGGTGATCGTAGCATCTTTCTTGTCCTTCAAGTCTTTGAGACTCGCGGCTGCTTTCTCTTTCGTATGTTCTTGTTCTAACAAAGCTTCCTTCTTTGTTTCCTCCATAAATTCTTTGACGTCGTCAGTGACAGCGTGTTTTGTACCTTTAAATATGCCCGATAGAAAACCAGATCCCTTTTCTTTAGCTTTCTTAGCTTCTTTAGTTGCCTTGTCCTTAGCGGCATCAGCACCATCGACCACGGCTTCGGCTCCCGCGGTAAATTTCTCTTTCACTTTTTTCGAATCATCTTGTATTTCCTTAACAACTGCATCTTTGGTATCTGCAACTCCTTGGGTAACGACTCGCGCTGTCGAATCTAGTTTTTCACCAGTTTCTTTCATTTCTGAGGTTACTTTGTCCTTAGCAGTCTTAATTGCATCAGCAGCTTTATCAATATCTTCGGAAACTTTCTCAGTAACTTTTTCCTTCGCGTCTTTCGCTACGGCAACAGTCTTATCCTTGGCGTCTTTTACTCCAGCAACAACTCGATCAGTTGTATCTTTTACACCAGTAACGGAAGCATCCTTTTTATGTTCTAGTTCCTTCAATCCAGCCGCTGCTGCTTCTTTAGCACGTGCTTCTTCCAGTTCTGCTTCGTGTTTCGTTTCATCTAGAAATTCTTTGACGTCGTCTGTTGCGCTTTCAACGGAATGCTTGGCACCTTTAAATATACCCGACAGAAAACTAGATCCTTTCTCCTTTGTTTTCTTTGCTCCTTTGACCGCTTTATCCTTAAGACTCTCAGCACTTTCAGTCATAGCTCCAACTCCGGCAGTCATTTTTTCTTTCACCACTTTTGCATCATCTTTAACTTCTTTAGTGGCTGCATCTTTTGCATGTGAAACTCCGTGCGCAACATCCTGTGCTGTTGAATCTAATTTCTCACCAACCTTCTTCACTTCCGATGTTACTTTGTCTTTAGCAGCTTTGCCCGTATCAGCAGCTTTCTGGATATCTTCCGAAACTTTCTCAGTTATTTTGTCTTTCGTATCTTTCGCTGCGGCGACAGTCTTATCCTTGGCATCTTTTACTTCAGTGATAGCTCGATCTGACGTGTCTTTTACACCACTGACAACAGCATCCTTCTTATGTTCCAATTCCTTTAATCCAGCTACTGCTGCTTCTTTAGCACGCGCTTCTTCAAGTTCGGCTTCATGTTTTGTTTCATCTAAAAATTCTTTAACATCGTCCGTTGCGTCTTCTACAGCGTGTTTTGCACCTTTGAAGATCCCGGAAAAGAAACCAGCAGTTTTTTCTTTAGCCTTTTTCGTCTCTTTCGTTACCTTATCTTTTGCACTATCTGTAGCTTCGGCGACCGCGTCAGTGTCTGCTGCCATTTTCTCTTTCACTAATTTTGTATCTTCCTTTACTTCCTTAACAGCTGAATCTTTAGTGCCTTTGGCAGCTTGCGCAACATCCGTCGCAATATCTCCTACTTTTTCACCGATCTTTTTTGTTTCTGCTGCTAGTTTCTCACCGGCTGCTTTCGTCGCATCGGTCACTTTCTGTGCGTCCTTTGAAACTTCTTCCACAATTTTATCCTTTTTATCTTTAACAGCGGAAACTGTTTTATCTTTTGTCTCTTTCACGTCAGCTGCGGCTTTGTCTGCTGCTTGTTGTACTCCGGTTACGACTGCGTCCTTCTTATCCTTTAAATCTTTCAGGCCAGCGGCAATATCTTCTTTAGCACGTTCTTTTTCTACAGAAGCTTCTCTCTTTGTTTCGTCCAAAAATTCCTTGACGTCACTAGATGCATCATCTACAGAGTGTTTCGCACCTTTAAATATTCCGGAAAAGAAGCGACCTGTTTTTTCTTTAGCTTTCTTTGCTTCTTTCGCCACTTTATCCTTTGCACTATCTGTAGCTTCTGCGGCCGCGTCAGCGCCTGCTGCCATTTTTTCTTTAACTAATTTTGTATCTTCTTTTATCTCTTTAACTGTTGCATCTTTAGTATCCTTAGCTGCTTGTGCAACATCTGCCGCGGTTTCTCCTATTTTTTCGCCGACTTTTTTCGTTTCTGCTGCTACCTTCTCACCGGCTGCTTTCGTAGTGTCGGCAATTTTTTGCGCATCTTTTGATACCTCCTCGACAACTTTATCCTTTTTGTCTTCTGCTGCGGAAACTGTTTTATCTTTTGTCTCTTTCACGTCAGCTGCGGCTTTGTCTGCTGCTTGTTGTACTCCGGCTACGACTGCGTCCTTCTTATCCTTTAAATCCTTCAGACCAGCGGCAATTTCTTCTTTAGCACGTTCTTTTTCTACAGAAGCTTCTCTCTTCGTTTCGTCCAAAAATTCCTTGACGTCGCTAGATGCATCATCTACAGAGTGTTTCGCACCTTTAAATATTCCGGACAAGAATCGACCTGTTTTTTCTTTAGCTTTCTTTGCTTCTTTCGTCGTTTTATCTTTTGCGGAATCTATAGTGTCCGCAGCAGTGTCAGCACTTGCAGTCAATTTTTCTTTCACTAATTTTGTATCTTCCTTTATCTCTTTAACTGCTGCATCTTTAGTATCTTTGGCAGCTTGTGCAACATCTGCCGCGGTTTCTCCTATTTTTTCGCCGACTTTTTTCGTTTCTGCTGCTACTTTCTCGCCGGCTGCTTTCGTGGTATCAGCAACTTTCTGCGCATCTTTAGATACTTCCTCGACAACTTTATCCTTTTTATCTTTTACTGCAGAAACTGTTTTATCTTTTGCATCTTTCGCTTTATCTACAGCTTCTTGAACTTCACTAATAACAGTGTCCTTTTTATCTTTCAGATCTTTTAGACCCGCAGCAGCTTTTTCTTTGGCACGTTCTTCTTCTAAAGCAGCTTCCTTCTTAGTCTCATCCACAAATTCTTTAACATCGTCAGCTGCATCTTCTACGGCATGCTTCGCACCTTTGAAGATGCCAGAAAAGAAGCCACCAGTTTTATCTTTAACTTTCTTCGCTTCTTTCGTTACTTTATCCTTTGCACTGTCCGCAGCTTCTGCAGTAGCGTCAGCATCTGCAGCCAATTTTTCTTTCACTAATTTTGTATCTTCTTTTATCTCTTTAATTGTTGCATCTTTAGTATCTTTGGCAGCTTGTGCAACATCTGCCGCGGTTTCTTTTATCTTTTCACCGACTTTCTTCGTTTCCACTGCTACTTTCTCGCCGGCTGCTTTCGTGGTATCGGCAACCTTCTTCGCATCTTTGGAAATTTCCTCGACAACTTTATCTTTCTTGTCTTTCATTGCAGAGATTGTCATATCTTTTGCATCTTTTGTATCGGTGATGGCCTTGTCTGCGACTTCTTGAACTCCAGTAACAATAGCGTCTTGCTTATCTTTCAAATCTTTGAGACCTGCGGCAACTTCTTCCGTAGCACGTTGCTTTTCTAATGAAGCTTCTCTTTTTGTTTCGTCCAAGAATTTCTTAACATCGTCAGTTGCGTCTTCTGCGGCGTGTTTTCCTCCTTTAAATATCCCAGAAAAGAAGCGACCTGTTTTCTCCTTAGCTTTTTTCGCTTCTTTCGACGCTTTATCTTTTGCACTATCCACAGCTTCTGCAGCCGCATCAGCATTTGCAGATAATTTTTCCTTTACTTTTTTCGTATCCTCCTTCACTTCTTTAATCGCTGCATCTTTGGTGTCCTTGGCAGCTTGTGCAACATCCGCCGCGGTTTCTCCTATTTTTTCACTGACTTTATCTGTTTCCGCTGCTACTTTCGCACCGGCTGCTTTCGTGGTATCAGCGACTGCCTGCGCATCTTTCGAAATTTCATCGACAATTTTATCTTTTTTGTCTTTTACTGCAGAGACTGTTTTATCTTTTGCATCTTTCGCTTTATCAACGGCTTTATCTACAGTTTCTTGAATTTCACTAACGACAGTGTCTTTCTTGTCTTTCAAATCTTTCAGTCCCGCAGCAGCTTTTTCTTTGACACGTTCTTCTTCCAAAGCAGCTTCCTTTTTAGTCTCATCCATATATTCTTTAACATCGTCGGCTGCATCTTCTACGGCGTGTTTCGCACCTTTGAAGATGCCAGAGAAGAAACCGCTTCCTTTCTCTTTAGCTTTCTTTGCCTCTTTTGTCGCTTTATCCTTTGCACTGTCCGCAGCCTCTGTGACCGCGTCAACGCCTGCTGCCAATTTTTCTTTTACTAATTTCGTATCTTCCTTTACTTCCGTAACTGCTGCATCTTTAGTGTCTTTGGCAGCTTGCGCAACATCCGTCGCAGTATCTCCTACTTTTTCACCGATCTTCTTCGTTTCTGCTGCTAGTTTTTCACCGGTTGCTTTCGTCGCATCGGTCACTTTCTGTGTGTCCTTTGAAACTTCTTCCACAATTTTATCCTTTTTATCTTTAACAGCGGAAACTGCTTTATCTTTTGCCTCTTTCACGTCAGCTGCGGCTTTGTCTGCGGTCTGTTGAACACCAGAAACAACCGCATCTTTTTTATCTTTCAAATCTTTGAGTCCTGCAGTAATTTCTTCTTTAGCACGTTCTTTTTCTACAGAAGCTTCTCTCTTTGTTTCGTCCAAAAATTCCTTGACGTCGCTAGATGCATCATCTACAGAGTGTTTCGCACCTTTAAATATCCCTGAAAAGAAGCGACCTGTTTTTTCTTTAGCTTTTTTTGCTTCTTTCGTCGTTTTATCTTTTGCAGTATCTATAGCTTCCGCAGTAGTGTCAGCGCCTGCAGCTAATTTTTCTTTTACTAATTTTGTATCTTCTTTTATCTCTTTAATTGCTGCATCTTTAGTATCCTTGGCTGTTTGTGCAACATCTGCCGCTGTTTCTTCTATCTTTTCACCGACTTTCTTCGTTTCCGCTGCTACTTTCTCGCCGGCTGCTTTCGTGGTGTCAACAACCTTCTTTGCATCTTTGGAAACATCTTCGACAATTTCATCTTTCTTGTCTTTTACTGCAGAAACAGTTTTATCTTTAACAGCTTTTGCGTCAGTGACGGCTTTGTCAGTGGCGTCTTGAATGCCAGTAACAACAGCCTCTTTTGTATCCTTTAAATCTTTCACACCTGCTGAGACTTTTTCTTTGGCACGCTCTTGTTCCTGTGCAGCTTTTTTCTTCGTCTCATCTACAAATTCTTTTACATCATCGGATACTTCTTCTGCAGCATGCTTTGCACTCTTAAATATTCCCGAAAGAAAGCCGCTACCTTTTTCTTTAGCTTTCTTCGACTCCTTAGTTACCTTGTCTTTCGTAGAAGCAGCACTTTCTGCTACAGAGTCAACGCCTGCTTTTAATTTCTCTTTCGCAGCTTGTACGTCTTCTTTCACTTCTTTCGCCACGCTATCTTTTGTATCTGCAACACCTTGCGTAATATCATCGACAATTCCCTTTGTATCTGCAATTGCTTTGTCGCCTGTCGCTTTAGTGGCGTCAATAGTCTTCTCGACTTGGTCGATTATTTCCTCAGTGACACGATCTTTTGCATCTTTCGCATCGATAACCATACTGCCTGTCTTGTGCTTCAGATCTTTGAGTTCTGCTTCCGCCGCTTCCTTGGCCTGTGCTTGCTCTAATGCTGCTTCCTTTCTCGTTTCATCCAGAAACTCTTTTACGTCATCCACTGCGCTGTCCGCGGAATGTTTCGATCCTCTAAATATTCCTGAGAAAAAGCTAGTAGCCTTTTCCTTAGCTTTCTTCGCCTCTTTACTTGCCTTGTCTTTAGTAACTTCTGCCGAATCCGAAATAGATTCAGCTTTGGCAGCCAACTTTTCCTTTATAACTTTAGCGTCTTCTTTTGCTTCCGTCACAACTGCATCCTTGACATCCTTCACATCACTCCCGGCATCTGCCACGGAAGTTTCTACTTTTTCGACTATTTCCTTGGTCTTTGTAACTACGTCGTCACGAGCTGCTTTCAAATCATGTTCAGCCTTATCTATATCTTTGACAGCTGTATCTATCAGCTTATCTTTCGTATCTTTCGCGGTAGAAACTGCTTTATCTTTAACATCCTTTACATCTTTAACAGCTTTGTCCGCGGTATCCTTAGCGCTATGTACTGCGTCATCCTTCTTACGTTTTAACTCCTCCAATTTTTCAGCTGCTTCCTTTTCCGTGTCGCTTACATGCTCCTTCACATCTTCAGATATATCTTCCGTGGCGTGTTTCGCACCCTTGAATATACCAGAAAAGAAACCACTTGTCTTTTCTTTCGCTTTTTTCGCCTCTTTCGTAGCTTTATCTTTTGCACTGTCTGCAGCTTCCGCAGCAGCATCAGCGCCTGCTGCTAACTTATCCTTCACGAACTTTGTATCCTCTTTCATTTCTTTGACCGCTGCATCTTTAGTATCTTTTACATCCTGCGTAACTTCTGATGCTGTCTCTCCTATTTTCTCACCAATCTTCTTCGTCTCTGTTGCAACTTTTTCACTAGCTGCTTTTGTAGTGTCGGCAACCTTTTGTACATCTTTAGAAACTTTCTCTTCAATTTTATCCTTTTTATCTTTAGCAGTAGAAACTGCTTTATCCTTCGCATCCTTTACATCAGTAATAGCTTGGTCAGCAGCTTCTTTAACTTCGGTTGTAACAGTATCCTTCTTATCTTTTAAATCTTTCAATCCCGCGGCAATCTTCTCTTTAGTACGGTCTTCCTCCAAAACAGCTTCCTTCTTCGTCTCGTCCAAATATTCTTTGACGTCATCGGCAGCATCTTCCACAGCGTGTTTCGCACCTTTAAATATCCCGGAAAAGAAGCCACTTGTTTTCTCCTTAGCTTTTTTCGCTTCTTTCGACGTTTTATCCTTTGCACTATCCACAGCTTCTGCAGCCGCATCAGCGCTTGCTGCTAATTTTTCCTTTACTTTTTTCGTATCCTCCTTCACTTCTTTAACCGCTGCATCTTTAGTGCCCTTGGCAGCTTGTGCAACATCTGCTGCAGTTTCTCCTATTTTCTCACCGATTTTCTTCGTTTCTGTTGCTACTTTTTCACCGACTGCTTTCGTGGTATCAGCAGCTTTCTGAGCATCCTTCGAAACTTCTTCTTCAATTTTATCCTTTTTATCTTTGGCAGCAGAAATTGCTTTATCCTTCGCATCTTTCGCATCAGTGATAACCTTATCTGCGGTATCTTGAATTTCTGCAACAACAGCGTCTTTTCTATCCTTCAAATCCTTAAGATCGGCAGCAACATCTTCTTTAACACGTTCTTTTTCTAATGATGCTTCTCTTTTTGTCTCATCCAAAAATTCTTTAACATCGCTAGTTGTATCTTCTACGGCATGTTTCGTACCTTTGAATATGCCAGAAAAGAAGCCACCTGTTTTATCTTTAGCTTTCTTCGCTTCTTTCGTCACTTTTTCCTTAGCACTGTCCGCAGCTTCTGCAGTTGCATCTGCGCCTGCTGTCAATTTCTCTTTTACTATCTTTGTATCTTCCTTTATCTCTTTAACTGCTGCATCTTTAGTATCTTTGGCAGTTTGTGCAACATCTGCCGCGGTTTCTTTTATCTTTTCACCGACTTTCTTCGTTTCCACTTCTACTTTCTCGCCGGCTGCTTTCGTGGTATCGGCAACCTTCTTCGCATCTTTGGAAATTTCCTCGACAACTTTATCTTTTTTGTCTTTCATTGCAGAGATTGTCATATCTTTTGCATCTTTCGCTTTATCAACGGCTTTATCTACAGTTTCTTTAACTTCACTAACGACAGTGTCTTTCTTGTCTTTCAGATCTTTCAGTTCCGCTGCGGCTTTTTCTTTGACACGTTCTTCTTCCATTTCAGCTTCTCTCTTTGTTTCGTCCAAAAATTCCTTGACGTCGCTAGATGCATCATCTACAGAGTGTTTCGCACCTTTGAAAATGCCGGAAAAGAAACCAGTTGCTTTTTCCTTAGCTTTCTTTGCTTGTTTCGTCGCTTTATCTTTTGTACTATCTACAGTTTCGGCAGCAGCATCAGCTCCTGCTGCTAATTTCTCTTTCACTAATTTCGTATCTTCCTTTATCTCTTTAACGGCTGCATCCTTAGTATCCTTAGCTGCTTGCGCTACATCAGCTGCGGTATCTCCTATCTTTTTGCCGGTCTCCTTCGTTTCTACTGCTACTTTCTCACCGGCTGCTTTCGTGGTATCGGCAACTTTCTGCGCATCTTTGGAGATTTCCTCGACAACTTTATCCTTTTTGTCTTTTACTGCAGAGACTGTTTTATCTTTTGCATCTTTCGCTTTATCTACAGCTTCTTGAACTTCACTAACGACAACGTCCTTTTTGTCTTTCAGATCTTTCAAATCTGCAGCAGCCTTTTCTTTGGCACGTTCTTCTTCTAACGCAGCTTCCTTCTTCGTCTCATCCACAAATTCTTTAACATCGTCAGCCGCATCTTCTACGGCGTGCTTCGCCCCTTTGAAGATACCAGAAAAGAAGCCACCAGTTTTATCTTTAGCTTTCTTTGCTTCTTTCGTCACTTTATCCTTTGCACTATCTGTTGCTTCTGCGGCCGCGTCAGCGCCTGCTGCCATTTTTTCTTTAACTAATTTTGTATCTTCCTTTATCTCTTTAATCGCTGCATCTTTAGTATCCTTAGCTGCTTGTGCTACATCTGCCGCAGTATCTCCTATTTTTTCTCCAATCTTCTTCGTTTCTGCTGCTACTTTCTCACCGGCTGCTTTCGTGGTGTCGGCAACTTTTTGCGCATCTTTTGATACCTCCTCAACAACTTTATCCTTTTTGTCTTTTACTGTAGAAACTGTTTTATCTCTTGCATCTTTCGCTTTATCAACGGTTTTATCTACAGTTTCTTGAACTTCACTAACGACAGTGTCTTTCTTATCTTTCAGATCTTTCAGTTCCGCTGCGGCTTTTTCTTTGACACGTTCTTCTTCCATTTCAGCTTCTTTCTTTGTCTCATCCAAAAATTCTTTAACGTCGTCTGTCGCATCTTCCACAGCGTGTTTCGCACCTTTGAAGATGCCTGAGAAGAAACCAGTTGTTTTTTCTTTAGCCTTTTTCGCTTCTTTTGTTGCTTTATCTTTTGTGCTATCTGCAGTTTCTGCGACTGCGTCAGCGCCTTCTGCCAATTTTTCTTTTACTAACTTTGTATCTTCCTTTATCTCTTTAACTGCTGCATCTTTAGTATCCTTAGCTGCTTGAGCAACGTCTGCCGCGGTTTCTCCTATTTTTTCACCAACTTTTTTCGTTTCTACAGCTACTTTCTCCCCGGCTGCTTTTGTGGTGTCGGAAATTTTTTGCGCATCTTTTGATACCTTCTCGACAACTTTATCCTTTTCGTCTTTTACTGCAGAGACTGTTTTATCCTTCGCATCTTTCGCTTTATCTACAGTTTCTTGAATTTCACTAACGACAGTATCTTTTTTATCTTTCAGGTCTTTCAATTCCGCAGCGGCTTTTTCTTTAACACGTTTTTCTTCCATTTCTGCTTCTTTCTTCGTCTCATCCAAAAATTCTTTAACGTCGTCTGTCGCATCTTCCGCAGCGTGTTTCGCACCTTTAAAGATGCCTGAGAAGAAACCAGATGTTTTTTCTTTAGCCTTTTTCGCTTCTTTCGTTGCTTTATCTTTTGTGCTATCCGCAGTTTCTGCGATCGCATCAGCGCCTGCTGCCAATTTTTCTTTCACTAACTTTGTATCTTCCTTTATCTCTTTAACTGCTGCATCTTTAGTATCTTTAGCAGCTTGTGCAACATCTGCCGCGGTTTCTTCTACTTTTTCACCGACTTTTTTCGTTTCTGCTGTTACTTTCTCACCAGCTGCTTTCGTGGTATCGGCAACTTTCTGCACATCTTTGGAAACTTCTTCGACAATTTCATCTTTCTTGTCTTTTACTACAGAGACTGTTTTATCTTTTGTATCTTTTGCTTTATCGACAGCTTTATCTACAGTTTCTTGGACTTCATTAACGACAGTGTCTTTCTTGTCTTTCAAATCTTTCAGACCCGCAGCAGCCTTTTCTTTGGCACGTTCTTCTTCTAACGCAGCTTCCTTCTTCGTGTCATCCATAAATTCTTTAACATCTTCAGCCGCATCTTCTACGGCGTGTTTCGCACCTTTGAAGATGCCAGAGAAGAAACCACTTCCTTTCTCTTTAGCTTTCTTCGCCTCTTTGGTGGTTTTATCTTTAGCAGATGCTATGGTATCCGCAGCTGATTCAGCACCGGATGATAGCTTTTCTTTCGCTGTTTTTGCGTCTTCCTTTATCTCTGTAGTGACTGCCTCTTTAATTTCTTTACCTGCTTGCGTGGCATCTTTCGCAGTGGTTTCTATTTTCTCGCCTACTTTCTTCGAATCTGTCACAGCTTTGTCGGTAGCTGTTTTTACGTGATCCGCTACCTTCTCCACATCTTTCGAAATCTTTTCAATAACTTTTTCTTTCTTGTCCTTTACAGCGGACACCGTCTTATCTTTCGAGTCTTTAATGTCGGTAACAGTTTTATCAGTAATATCTTTCGCGCCTGTTACCAAATCATCTTTTTTCTGTTCTAAATTCTTCAAATCAGCAACTGCCGCTTCTTTAGCTCGCGCTTCCTCCAAGGCAGCTTCTTTCTTCGTATCATCCAAGAATTCTTTTACATCATCAGATACTTCTTCCGCAGCATGCTTCGCACCTTTGAATATCCCCGATAGAAATCCTGACCCTTTCTCTTTCGCCTTTTTTGCCTCCTTGGCTGTTTTATCTTTCGCAGCTTCAGCGCCGTCGACAACGTCGCGTGTTTTCTCCTCTACCTTTTTGCCAATCGCGTCTTTACCGTCTTTGATGGCTCTATCAGCATCTTCTGCTGTAGTTGTGATATGCTGTTCAACTTTCTTTACCTCTTTTATCAACTTATCGTCCTTATCTTTATCTTTGAGACCCGTCACTTCACCCAAGATAGCCGCCGTATTCCGTGAATCCTCCAGGAATTTTGCAGTTGCTTCTCGTAAATCGTCGTGGCCACTGTCCGGCAGTTCGAGCGACGGCGTCTTCTCTTTAGACCTGCTCCTGGATCTAGAGCTCCTCGGCTGTTTGGGACTTTTGAATATACCGAAAATGCCGCCCTTATCTTTTCCGACAGCTTCATCCTCGGGAATGATAGATTTTTTAATTTCTTCGTCTATAGGCGGAGTTTTTGTAACACTCTCCGATACTTTTTCTCCAGCCTGCAGGTTTTCTGCCATCTGTCTCGTGTCTTCCAGAAGTTTCGCCGTTGCCAATCGAACTTCCTCGTCTCCGCTATCGAAAGAAGTCTCTTTTGAAGAACTCTGCTCTCGGGATCTGCTTCTCTTCTTGCTCCTGAGTTTTGGGCTCTTGAACATACCGAAAAAGCCACTTTTTTCTTTAGTATCCTCGCTCGTCTCTTTCTCCGTCTCGGGAGCTTTCGGTTCCGGCGTGTCGGATTTTACCTCTGCAGCAAGTTTTTCGGTATCTTTTTTCTCGCCCTTCTGAGTTTTTTCTTTGTCAACGTCCGTTTTTCCGTTTACTTCTTCGTGTATAGTTCTCTCGATGATCATCGTCGTGGTTTGAACAACATCGTACGATTTACCGATTTTATCTGCGGGAGTATCGACGTCGTAAAGTGTGCTCGACACGAAAGTGCGCACCTCTTCTTTGGGAGTGACTTTTGTGCCGTCGCTTTTGTACACGATCGGTAATGCGCTAGTGTCAGCAACTTTCCGCGTGTCATCCAAGAGTTTTTCTGTCACGGCTTTGATTTCCTCATCGCCGCTGTCAAAGGATGTTTCCTTCGATTTGGCAAGCTTCTTGTCCTTGAACTTTGGACTCCTGAAGATCCCGAAGAAGCCGACCTTTTCCTTTACCTTATCTTCTTCCTTTTCGTCATCCCTACTAGGTGCCTGCTCATCCGTTGAAGCAACGACTTTTTCAGCTGCTTTGCTTTCGGCATCCTCGACAGCTTTTGCGCCGATCTTTACAGTCTTCTCCGCTTCTTTTTCGATTGCACTAGGCACTTCGACAATTTTAGATGCTTCAGCCTCTTTTTCCTTTTCCTTCATTTGTAGTTCCAGTAAATCCTCCTTTTCTTTCGCGATTGCTGCCAGCTTCTTTTTCTCTCTCTTCGCGATTTGCTCTGCGCTCTCTTTAGGTTTCTCGACGTGAATAACGGGTATGGCAGACCCATCTTCGTCCTTTTTAGACTTGCTTTTGAACAGACTCGAGAAGAAGCCTGTTTTGTCTTTGCCGTCATCGTCGCTCTCAGCAGCCTCTGCTTTCTTGTCTTCCTTCTCCGCTGGCTTAGCAAGACTTTCGTAAGGTACATGCATGCCCGCAGCGACTCGTCTAGAATCCTCCAAAAATTCCGCGGTAGTCAATCTCACATTGGGGGAGGCTGTGATTTCCGGTAGTCTACTGTCGAAATGCGAGTCCGTCACTTCGCTAGAAGCAAGTTCCGGTTGCTGTTCTGAGACTTTCGTTAGAACAGCCTTCGATTCCTCGTCGCCACTGTCAAAGGACGTGTCTTTCGAACCTTTCTTGCCTCTTTTCAATTTGGAACCTTTAAAAATTCCCGAAAATATTCCGCCACTCTTGTCCTTCGTTTTCTTCGTCTCTTCATCTGATTTTTCTTCCGTACTGTCCGCCGAATGCTGCACGTTGTAAATGTCTTCATAACCTGATGTTTTCATGGTCTTCGCATCTTTGTCCTTCTCCTTCTCCTTGTCTTTATCTTTATCCTTGTCTGCAGGAGTTTTTGCTTCTGGTTTCGTCTGATCAGTTCTGATTACAGTTTCGACCTTCGTCTTTCGCGTAAGATCCGCGCCCTGAGCCAACTTTTCGTCGACTTCCTTACCTTCCTTAGACAGTTTCTCCTTCTCACTAACAACGTCTTTTTTATCGGGAGAAACGATTACCGTTTCTTTCGTGGTCACAGTCTTAGTCGGCGTTTGTTTTATTACCGTAGTTTTAGTAACTATCGTCTGACCTACTTTCGGATCGCCACTGACGGAAACTACTGTTTTCGAAGTGCTAACTTTGGGATCCGGCGTCCCACCGCGATGCTGCTTAATCATCGGCGGCTCGATACTAGGGATTTGCTCTGATTTGGGAACAAAACCTTTCGGCTCGGCAGCCGTTTGATCTAAGTGAACGTTAATTACAGTTTGACCTATCGCACCCCGCGCCTCTTTACTGTCCCGCGCATCATCATAAACCACCGACCACCCTTCCTTCGCTAACTTCCCCTTCTCTTTCTCTGCGTCTGCTATTACACCTGTTAATTAAGTATAATACATTTTAGGCATCTGTATACGTGGTAGCAAAATAAAAGGAACACAATTTTATTTGTCAATTTCGTCATCATTAGTGTAAGCTGGCTCGCTCTTTGATTGCTCTTTTGATTGAACTGCGGTTAGACTGTAATAGTGTGGTTTGTTTTGTGCGTGAAGTGTATGTGCTGTGGAGCAGCCATCTTCTCACTACATCGTTATATACGCAAGGCAAGTGCGATTCAAGAAGGAGAAGTAACATCAATTGCTACCAACAATTAATATACGTGGTGCAACTATACATACATACTTTGACTTTTATAATAAATTTCATTGAAACGTTCTCAGTAGCTTGCAACTTTGTATCTCGGGAGAGTATTTCGATTAGTAGAACATAAACTATGGAACGAATGCTGAAGATATCAAAATGAAGCTGTTAGAAAATATAAACAACAGTAGTATATATTGAGTAGTATATTCACAGCTTCACAAAGAACTCTTGATTACTGTTTTAAGTAGAAACAACAGTCAACTGCTATTAGTGATGACTTTAGCAACTTTTAATCTATGAGCTATAGGCAAATAACGGAACGATATTCTGATGGCCTACGCGACAACGTCTAGTGATCTTTTCTAATGACAGCTGCTCCGTGCGCGCACACAATTGGGCCACACATATTGGCCATTCATGCAACGCCAAATAATTGCAGCGAAACCTTGCTGAAACAAATTAATCTAAAAGTGTTCGCGGAGTATTAAGGATATTAGTGGGAATGATTAAAATGAGGTATAAAAATTATTGTATAAATATATAAGTAATAGCTGCTTGAGATAGGCCAAGGTAAAATAATCCGTTATATATTAAAGTAAAAGCAAGCTGGTAAAATTCCGAAGAGATCCGCATTGGCTTCCAGAACCTGTGAGTGAACGGCTTAGAGACAAATGTTTAGTGCTCACGTACGTTATTTGCGCTCTGCAAAACGTACAGTGTTTCTTTATTAAGCTGAGATAAATTTTATGCATTGACGTGAATCGTGTCCAGAATCATTATAACAATTACAGTATTCCTTATTCATGTATTAGCGTTTATTCGACCGCAACGTTTCGCTGAAATAAGATCGTGCACATTGTTGATTGAATACTTACGTAAAAATTAAAGCTTGCTTCATAAACGACGATAACAAGTCACAAGTGAAAATTCAATGTACAAAATAGATTAGGATTGAGGTATATCTACTTAAAAACTACGGTCTTGGCATATAATTTATATACGCCAATATAATTAAATAAGTAATTACGTGTGCATTTGTTACGACATAACTGCATAACGGTGATACGTATCATTTATCACAAATGAAGAAACAAACGTCCATAAGAATATATAAGAAGATTCACCGAAAAATAGTATTATTAAGAGAGAAGAGAATAATGCCAAACACGCGCAAAGAAATGTATAAAGCTATTCGAGAAATATAATTGTACATCTCGTGCATTGTTCGAAAGTCTTTTAAGCGAGTACATTTCATAACTGAACACGATATCACTAAAGAAAAGTGTATCTCCGATCTAGCGAGGTCTATAGCGAGTCCGTCGAAACGCAGTTCGTCGACAGATGGTTAATACGAGTAAGTCGATCCCCTTAGGATCAAGCGTGCGCCCGCAGCATTAATCCAATCATGCTGCTGAATTTTAAGTAATTATGTATGTAAGAATGCGCAGTCCCGCATTTGGCGACGTAGCTCCGCTAAAACTCGATTAACGGCTGCCGGTTTTCTTTGCCAGTAGTAGTAAGCACGGCCCCTCAACCCACCATTCATTCAAATCGCTTTCAAGCTCACTTACCAGAGACTATCTTGTTGGCGTCGGCGATCGCTTTCTGGCGTTTTGCCTCCGGATCGTCCAGTTCGTCACGCGACTTTTTGCTCATCGTGTCGGTCGTGTGGCATTTGTGCTCAAGGTAATCAGCCATCATGTCGCCGAGCTCTTTCTCGTCGCTCGCGTATTTGTCTTTGATGGGGGTCGAGGTTCCGTTGAATACAGTGCCGTTTGTGATTGTGATGTGCTCTTTGGCTGTGAAGTGCAGAAAATGCGTAAACGAGACACATAGGTAACACGAGCTGATGTGAAACGTTGCATGACAAATGTAACGGATATACGTGGCCGCAGTAAGATTGCCCGGCAAAGCGTTGACTAATACGTTTTCTAGGTAAGCACGAGTAAAAGTGTTCGTTTCTGTGTATTTGACACAACTAATAACGCGCGTTGTGGCGTGGCGTGCATCATTCAAGTATTGTGAGCCGTGACGTCACATTTTTTATTGCAGTATGTATTGTAGTATAATGAAAGAGAAAATGTATAATATTCAATTATTTTTGACAAATTGTATCTAATATAATATGTTAAAACGCAATGCAAGAGCGAGTAATAATAAAATTAAGTTTATAGATATTGCTGTTACACTTACGTTTATCGCGTGCGCCAGTGATACTAAGATCCTCGATTGATTCAGAGTCCTAGAACAAAGAGAGAATTGCGTTTTATCTTGGCGATTAGAAGAATCCCACGCTCATGGAGAAGTAGTTATTTGAGTAAATTACTGTTATGTATAAGCCTTTTAACTGTTGTAGCATACGTAAAAGAGTTATTATGAGATATAAAGTGGAAGGATCGTATCTTCTTCAATTGCGCTTAATAATAGCGCTCGCTAGATAACAAGACTAAGGTCAAGCGATAAAATATCATCTTTTGCTTTGTCACATGTTGACTTGAATTAAATTACAATTATGCATGTAAATTCTTCCAGATTTGCATAAGATGCGCACCTTCATTCTATCGGGCTCTTCGTAATCAGGGTCCATCTTAGGATCCATAGTTGCATCACGGCGAAGTGACGTGTTTCTCGACGGCCCCAATTCCTCCTTCAATGAATCAAATCCTGGCTGATCCAATCTGACTCTCGCTACAGCTTTTTCAACGTCGTCAGTCACTAACTCGACGTTGAAGATACATTTGTTCACTATATCTTCTCGCCCGATTTTATTGAGAGCCTTTTCTAACGTGTTTCCTACAAATTAAGAACGACCCGTGATATTTCAATCTATTAATGTGAATAGATAAAAGTGGACAATTCAATATATTATAAACATTTATTATAATACATTGTTCTATATATTCTTTAAATATCATAAGTATCAATAGGTTTTAAAAGCAAGAATACATTATCGATATTCACATCGTCAAAATTTATTACTAATAATATTTTTATTCGCTTTCTTTTGATTTTGCACAGACCTGAATGTATTGCACATTGTGGACGTAAGCAAGGCTGTCTCCGAAATATTAACAAAAGCTCGCTCGTGTAATAATTCTGATTTTCATATTCTTGATATAAAGATATAAACATCGTTTTCTTTTCTATATTTTTCTTCGTTAGAATTAAATTAATTAAAATCTAAGGAAACAGCGGTCTTGAAAAAATGTATTACTTTATCGCAGGAATGTCGGGATATTAAATAATCTCGGTAATACAGATTCAGAGATACAAATAATTCGGCGATTTGTAAAACCGGTACAAATAAAGAAGCTGCAGAGGACACTCAGATTTTAATCACTTTAACTGCGCGACTGCCGATCACATACTGCGGAATCACGCCCGCTTGTTATTTCTACCGATTGCAGAAACATCGCGAGTTATGTGCGAGTCAATGCCATTAGCGGGAAGGAAGGAGAGGGAACGAAGCGTGTAGACTTATGTCAGGCATAATAATGCACGGTGATGAGATCATCACATATCTACGTTGCTAGGAGAGATTCCTCACGCCTGACTCAACTATAGCGCGCGTGTCTAATTAATTGACCTTGCTAGCAAACAGGTTTTTTAAAGGTTACCAAGGCAGCTACCCGCAACTCTCATTCATCGAAAATTAACACGTTACGCTAGTTCGGTGATGTAAAGATAAATAAATTGCGTAATGCCCGCGGACTCACCTGTGGCTTTGTTTCCACTGTTTTGCCAGATTTTGAACATGGCAGCGGCCTGTTGCGCGGGTTTGTCAGGATATTCTTGTTTTATTAGGGCCACATCGTTGGGTGGAATATTCAACTCTTCCGCTAGTGGTTCCCAATCTTTATCCAATAAATTAGCGATGTCTGTTAAACGGATGGTCGCTCTGTGTATAGCATCTGGTCTGCCTGAAAACAATATTCGTTTTTCGTAAAATATAGAAAACTTTGGTAACATGTGTCGTTAGTAATTAATTTCCATTTTATTATATCACATATTATTGTTCACTTACTTATTCCACCATCGCGTAGGAAACTGTAGTTCTTCGACAATTCCAATAAATCGAGCTCGGAGACCGCAGTATCCGGAGAAATCTTCTCCGGTAGCAAAATGTTTAGCGTGCAGATCGGCGTTTGTGGTAGTTCACCTCTCGGAACCTTAGGCTCGCTCATAAACATGATTCGACCCATCATATCCGCGGCATCCGGATCCTTTATTCTCGCTGTGAATGGGACCCTATTTTCCTTGAAAGCTCTGAACGGTAGTTGCAGCTGTTCACCGGTTTTCAGAACGGGTACGAGATTTCCCGAAAATTCCATGTATTGCGTTTTTCCTTCGAGAACCTGTAGCATTGAGTAAGATTTAATGAACACTTTGACGGCAATCTGCATTTTTATTGCCGACAGTTACCTCGACGTCTCGACTTTTTGCGACTTCTGTAAAATGTTCCTGATGCTCTAAAGTTTTGTCCTCTTTGTCGTCCGTCATACAGAACACACGTAGTCTCGCTTCCAATGGATCCACCCGTTTCGCAAAAACTACGAACCTATCATAAAATAAACATTAAAATAGTTTCTTCCTGTATAATTTGCACCTGTGTAATTTATCACTAAAAATTCACGTGTCACGTTACATCAGTCGAAACGTACTTAGCCATGAAGGGCACATGTGTCGCGTGCGTGTAGAGTTCCGTGGCCATTTTCGTGGCCTCGGAAATATTACGGCAGTCCATTAACCAGAAACGGGCGGAAACTGTGGTGGTGAAGGAAACGCAATCTTTCACAAAGGTCAACGGCGTCGAGCCTGTGACGTCCTCCCAGACTGCCCGAGTCTGACCCCCTGAACGACATACATGCCAAGTCCAATAACATTATTAAAATATGTCCGTGTTGCAGATTCGCAGGTGACAAAAGTGAAATATGTGTGGTATATTTTCGCACGACCGAGATTAAATACGGGCAATTAACAATTCGGATATGAATCAGTTTCTATGAGTAAAAATAATACTGGGTATATTAATCGATAAATAATTATCAACCCGAGGAAATTTTGCATTTAAAAACGGTCGCTGTGAGTGCGTTGTTGTTAGGTGCTTTTTATCAATGTTTGAGTGTAATAAAAAGTAGGTACATGGCGACCGAATGATAATGCTTGCAAAATCAAGAGAAAGCGCTATATACGAAATGTGTAAAAAGCAATCGTAGGTGTATGGATGTAAGATAATTGTGATAAATAGAAATGATATCGCAAAATAATAATCAATATGTGTCATTTTATGAAAAAAGTGATTAAAGTAATATTAAATTAAAAGACAGATAAGAAGACAAAAATAATTATATGTATATCTTTTGATTTTAGGAGTATACTGTAGAAATACTGTAATACTTGAAATATATTCTCAACAGATTACAGCTAAAATAAACTAAATGTGATAGTATTCAGTGTAATATTGTATGTAACATTGTTATAATGACATAAATCTTTTTAGATTATATGATTGGGTATTACAGAGGACAATTATATAATCCATATACTTGATATATACATATATATATAATATATGTATGTATATGTATATCATGAGTACAATTTCATATAAATCACAAATTACTAATATATTAAAGCGATTACCAGACAAACGAATGTGCTGAAACAAAAACTTTGAAGTTAACTCTTAACAATGGGCTAGATATAGTAAAATGTTATCTACTTTAATTGATAATCCATACCTAAATGACTCAATCCTAACAATATGCAAGCATTAACAATGAATCACAACAAGATATGTATACAATAATGATACTCAACGAAATGTTTCTAAGAAACATGCAGCTACCATCTCCCTTTTAAATCTCTATCCGAAAGTCCTCGGGACATTTCTCGATAATACGACGGACGACAAAAGAAATCATTTCTCGATAATACGATAGACGACAAAAAAAATCATTTACGACAAAACATACGACATATCTCCCAACATTCACATACATAAATCGATTTTCTCCATTTAATTGAAAATTTCACACTGGAACATCTTTACACGCTGGTGCAAGTCACGAATCGTACAGACTGTTACCATACTAAACATAAACGAGTTGCAAAAGTGCTGCTACCATTTAAGCAATCTTTTCGTGCAACGTACGATACTTGGTTCGCAGTTCCGAGTGACCTGAGAACAGACGATATAGCCTACCGACTGCGTTTCATGCCTGCTAAACTACAGTAAACCGATATCCGAATGCGTAATAACGTAAGTTCGGCAAGAGCGTATATATATATACGCCAAAGGTATATGCGTATAATATTAGTTCCAGCTGTTTATATCGGTAAGAGATTCTCCAGTAAGACGGTACGCTGCTCTACAATGTTACGTGCAAGCATATATTACCAGTTATGCTGCACAGGAGTCTCAAAGTCGGCGCGTCTCCGGAATACTGATTGATCATGCCTTTATTGGCCGCCTGTGGTACTGGAATAGTTAAAGTTATCGGCTTGTGGAACTTCCTTCGTCTCGGCTCGACGGTAACGATCGGCGACACGGCTACTCTGTTTCCGAGTAACTTGGCCACGAGATCCGCCGGTATAGGATGTGCCTGTAATATGTAACAATAACTTTATTGAATACAATAAATAACTTATGGAAAGATGTACCTCTGAAGAATTATATTACGTATATTAAATTATTTATCAAATGTTCCAATTTCTTAATTTACAAAGACATAGGCGATTTTTGGAGATTTAAATGACCAATTCCTTCGCCTATCGTGAGTAATTAATCATTTTTAAATGCTAGTAAATGCAGATGAGTTAATAAACATATTTAATTAATGAAGGGAAACGGATAAATACCTGCAGACCGACTCTGATTTTCTTAGTAAGGGCCGCTTGCGGGAAGACAGCTTGTACTTGTGGTACAGCGGATGACGACACGGTGCCGCCCTCGGGACCAACCGCGTGGACCTCTTGTCGGATGCGAGATACTACCGCGAAGTAATGTGGGAAATCTACGGTGAGTATCCTCACGATACGAGACGTCTGGAGATCCTCTAGCTGGCTTAGCTCTGAAAAGGTACATCAGCTCAGTGATTGCCATATCATTCTAGAATCGCGATAAAGAAGTTGCTTGAATCATACCTTCACCCTCAAAGCTCTCGTTAAGCACATCCTGGACAGCCTCCTCGCTGGCTTCCAAGGTGTGCTCGCGCCAAGTCTCTCCGTTGTCCGATCGCAGAATCACTATTTCCCGTTCCTTTCCGCGCAGCGACGCGAAATGTGGCACCTCTATGATAACGGGGCTGCACACGAAAAAAAATTCTTAACGTTTAAGCAACTGCGTAATAAAGTATTATTCCAAAAAGTCTCTTCAGTTTACTTTACACTTATCATTAGTCCGAAAAAACGCAATAAGCGTGTATACTTCCGACCGCAGTTGGAATGGAAAAATAAAATCGTTGAAAGATAATTGAGGAACGTACCCCAGGAATTTCGCACCCACAGGACCCAATTCGAGGATGCGGCTGGCCAACGCTTCTCCCTCCATCAAGGGGGGCGGGTTGGTCAATTTGTCTCTCCTCAGGTATCTGCACGTGACGCGCATAGGCATCGCGGCCTTACGCGGTGGAACAATCACGCGGACGCCACTGTGCCTGCAACCGCGCATCGCACCGCCTCTCGCGTCCACCAAGAAGGAAACCAGGAAGCTGGGGAGATTTTGAGAGAGTGTTACGTTCGGGCTTACGACACGTCGCGTGGGATCGTCCAGGATATTATTACAAAAAATTGCAATAAAAAAATTGCATTATATATGTGGAGGCTGCTTACAAAAGATGCACAGTCAAGGTCTATTTTAGGTACCCAAAATATGTGTGTCCTCGACATTACTTTCAAACACGCGCGATATCGCTTTGTCGAACCATCAGAACAGTTTACAGAAATTTACGTTAATTCGAAAATAGAATGAGTTTGTCATATAACATATGCATTTTGAAAAACCCCGCAGTGGACGATATAAAAAAATATCACAGTTATAATTTTTAATTGTTATATATATCAACGTTAGACCAAAATTTCACGGAACTCGCAATAAAAGGATACCATGGTAGAAAATTAAAAGTCGAACTTATATACGTGAATAATTCTAACATTAATATCAGTCACAATGCACTGTATAATTCGCTGACGCGAATTAACTGTTACGAAAAGTGCGTAAAGCTGGAAAGCATAATATTCTCGAGAAATTGTACTATAAGCGTGATATCCGTGAATCGGAGATTATGACGATCTCATATATGAGATTATTGTTAAAATTTAGACACAATATGCGCTTCGAGCGCGTTAACACCATGACATTATCAGCTGTGACGTGTCTTTCCTACGGTGACAGTGAGATAATTCGTACTACGTTCTATCGACACTTAATTGTTGTGCGTAAATGTAATTACTTTGGCTCAATGTAATGTGGATAAGATTATACGACAATGAGATGTACGGCAAAATAAGAGATAAATAAAACAGCTATCTATACAGGTCCAGCTATCAGCGTGGACATTTCTACGAGATGACAACGGGTTGCACGAGGTGTGTGTATGGGTGTATATAGGTGTGAGTATACGTGTGGCAAAATAAGAGATAAATAAAACGGCTAAGTAGATCAAATCTATGGGTAATCCTACGTGAGACGTCTGTCGAATGAATGTGATACAGCCGTAAGCGCCAAACTACCGACATTGAAGGCAACGAAAGTGTCATCTAACTCGATTCAAACGAATTGGTTCTATTCAGTCGCTCTCAACTACCCGCATTCTTTAGCATGTAGCTGATGCCGGCGCTGAGAGACCCACTGATCCGCCTGTGAATTATTCACAGGAGAATTGTGTAATGCACATCGCGCAGCGAACATAAACTCAGCAAGGACGTTCCTCGCGATATTGACACCCGGCGTCGATTAGTGCGGTCGTTCGAGTGCGCAGTTATTAAAGAGTAGCCGCAGTTCATTTTTCTCCTCGTTTTTTCTTTTTATATTTTAAATTTAATAGATTTGTCGACGCCTGTGTAAACCGCGCTTACGTACGTTTCTACTGAATAAATTCACCGCCGAGAGTAACATGGAAAAATCGAGATTGACTGCAGGATGCGCGTGCCTGCCGTTTCATTCATCGCGTATTTCTTCGCGTTAAATTTTACTGATTTCTCGAGAGATCAAATTTATTTTATGAATCATCCTTTGATCGTTAAACGAGCTGCGTTCGCTGAGCGATGTACGATGTTTCTAAGAATAATAAGAGTCAGCGACTACAGGGGGTTGTGCGGCAACAGATATAGGCTGTGTATAACGATGGAAGAAAGAATAATCGAAAGAAAATCGAAGGAGGGGTGTGATATATGTACACGGCAAATTGCAGAAGCTAAGATTGATGAGAGAAGATCACTTACTTTCTCCACTGTGGAATTCTGCGAGTAGCGCAAATAAAATAACAGAGAGGATCGGGAACAAAATAAAAAACGCGTTAGTATCCATTCGTTCATAAACATGATGATGAGATGGCATAATAGAGAGATGATATATCGCTAATGAGTATCCTAATATCAGCACAATTTTACAGAATTTTTGTTCTTTAAATCAAATTCACATCAGCACGACACGTCTGATTCTTTTTTAAATCTTTTTTTTTGTTTCGCTTTCGTAAAATGTGCTCCTGTTCGTGATAATGATGATGATGATGATGATGATTGTTGCTGATCACTTCGTAAAGTGCACTCATCACACGCAAGCCACTTTTCTATTGTACACGACTACGAAACAAGAAGTAACAATAATAATTATGTATTATAGTAGAGAGAAAAAGATACGCAACACACTCACACTCTGCGAAAAGAAGACATACCTCGCGGAAGAAACTTAAAATGTAATGACGCTCCGAAATCTGTTTAATTTCGAACTGTACACTGAGAATTTGAGTCAATTTAAATCTTTTCCAATTGAGAAGTGCATCACTTCGAAATTATTATCGACCTAATTGGTGCGAAACAGATTTCGTCCGCGCGAAGTAATTCAACTTAAATTAACTATATGAGAGAAAAACATCCAGCGGCAGCTGTTGCAACGTTGAAACCTCCTACTTTCTACTATTCAACAATTTGTTGGAAGAACGATTCTTTCTCTTATAAATATTATAGCATGCTTAACTTTCCTCCCTCTTCGGACAGACTGCTATAACTGTGCTATTATTTTTAAATAATAAATAGAACTTTCCTTCTTTTACAGGTATCGTTAATATGTTTATCGTCGCTAATAATTGTGTTTTGCGCCATTATGCAAAATTTATATCGGCAGGAAAAAGAAGATAACGTAAAGGATATATGGTGTACCTGTCCCTCCACATTCCTTGTCCCTTCGGTGCGGTACTGAGCGCTGCCAGCGAGGTGCATAGGGAGTCTAGGGACTCGCTATTCTCAGAACAAAACCGATTTTGATTATCCGAATCAGTAATCTCGCTTATCATGCTCATGCTATCTCGCTTGTATAAATAGCACCCTTTTCGGTCGCCACTGCATTCATTTCAAGTCATTAGAGAAGTGCTCTGTGCTTTTCTTTCGAACACGCACAGTGCTCCACGTGCAAGAATGGCTCGATCAAGAACGTTGCGTCAATGTCATTGTTAAATAGATAGGCGGAACAACGGTCAAGATTTTCTAAAGGAGAAAATTTCCCATCGTCGCGGACATTCCTCACTCTGTTCAAACCGGGCGGTTAGTAGAATCGCCAGTGATAAATAAAATTACATTGGTCAAAGAATCGTTCATCCAAGAGTGAAAAACAGCATGCTAAACACTAAGTAATCGAACTCCGCTACGAACAAGCAGGCTGTACGAGAACATCAAGCGTTCTTGTATGGCTGAATGACTGTAAACTACCGTAAGTCCTGTCGTGAACATTAGGTAAAACAAATTGTATAGCAAAATTTATTATGAGCGTTATACTACCGCGGAAATCCGTGTTCCGATATCACGTTTGTTACGTGTTACAATCTTACATGATTATTCTATGTATATCTCACAGTAACCAGTTAGCTTATATATTTTAAGAAATGAGCGAACGAGTATATTTCGTGAGCATCCAGATATCACAGTTAGAATTTCATATACGTGCCACACCAGTTTCCTTTCTACAATCGGATACATTTACACCGAGAAAGTCTTTACTTAGAGCTGTTCTGAGTTAATTTATACCACGTGCTTTCTCCGTAAACCCAATGCAAACTTGAAAGATTATGCAAATATTGCACGCGACTTGAGTCAAATGACCATTATGGATATTAGGCACAGGTTATCAACGATCATGCGCTGATAACAGTGACGTAAATTTCTAGCATTTTTAAGCTCCACGTAGGAACAAACGTGAAATCATTTACGTTGAGCACGATCATGTGTACATTCTCATCCAGATTCGCAAAGTGCAAAATTTTTTTTATTCAATATTTCATTGATGTTATTTTGTAAATACGACTGTTCCATAATGTTTTATCACGATTTTATTAATAACTGTATCGATAAATAATTTCAATTAAGGAAACAATGTCTAAAATAAAATAATAAAAGTGAACAAAAATTATCGATTACCGTATTGCTTGTAACTATGAGATTCGTTCTATTACCAATCAGAAATTAAGATAATAATTAAGATAGTAATTAAGATAGTAAAATTAACGTAATGGGTAATTTATTGGGTGGCCAATCCAGTAGGGTTAATCACAGCAAGAAACTTTCACCAACACACAACTATATCATACTATAATACACATCATTATTGTTTCGTAGTACTAATCCAGCGTCAATCGCGATATGTACACCGGAGTACGAGGCCGCGTAGTATCGCGGATTAAATTTCTCGTAATATTGAATAACGATATTTATCCATAAAAATTCCCGTAATTTACAATAGAGAAAGGTTGCTGCGTGTAAAACTGAGCGAAATTTTGATACCGAGAAATCGACTAAAAAATTATTTTCTTATATGCTACATCATTTATCACGATTTAAAATAGAAGGAGATAATTATTATACGATATAGCTATTATACGATAAGAATACTAAAGCCTTTAAAACCTCTGTCTCTAAAACCTTCTAAAATCGGATAAGAAGACGAAAGACAAAATTTTGTTTACAATTGAGACTAATGACGACAGTTTCCGCAGAGCAATAATAATCGTTTGAAACTTCTATAAATAGAGTTTTTGATTTTATACATGTACAAGACACTCTCCTTACTATCGAATAAATTCAAATCCGTGGATATTAAATCATCAACAACATGCGTCGAATTTTGAGCATGTCGTAATGTTATAATTTTAATATTATATACGCTCATCACGGCACACCATGCAATTATAATTTGATCTCGCTAATTAATGCTCTTTTTATGTCTCAATTATCATTGGAAGAGAATATTTTCTTTCAGAGTAAACCAGAAAAAATTATTACAATTATCAATACTTAAAAATCCTTCATATGCTATAGCTATATTGTTATAATTTAATCTAGTTTCAAAAATTATTGAAATTTTATGTTGCAGTATTTTAACGAAATTTTGAAATAGATCGCATAACCGTCACTAATGAAATTTCATCATTTTAAATGTCTTTCTTTTAATTAATAAAGTTGAAAGTGAGAAAGAAAAAAGTATATATAAAATATTACGTACCCGACATGAACAGGATGCCTGTTGATGTCTACATTGTCTGGCTTAAGATTGGCCGCGTTTGTACGTTGATAATGTTCTTTCGTAATCATCTCTGTTATGGTTGGCGCTAGAAAACACATCGCCATGCACGTTAAATTTATTTTCCGAGGATGATCTAATCTGATTAACGCGATGTGCAGAGTAATCGAATGTTTGGCTCTGCGATACGTCGCGGAATATTAAGTGCTATAGAACACATATACAGCTACTATCTCGCGTTCCTCGTGTAATCTACCGAAATAGCAAAATTATCGAATTACCAGCAGAATTGTATAAACAACAGATTAGATAGATTCGACGCGCGTATAGAATCGCTTAAAAATAATATCGCGACGGAATATTACTGATTTTCAACAGAATTACCAATAATCAACGCGAAAGACTCGAAAGCAAGCGACGACTTGACGATATTATTCTGACTGATACCTGACAAAGCGCGCGTGAGGAACGTAGCCAATATATGTTTACTTACCTCCGGAATGTCGATTATCTCTCTCGTCGTCGGTCACGTTCACGCGCATCGAGTCATCCCCCATGGACTTCATATCGTCAACAGTCATGTATCTGTACTGCTGTTGGTCGCTGAGCATTGGATCCTCACCTGCGATAAATATTAGGCTTAATAAGGTAGACGGAAAGGCGCGGATACGTTCGCGAGAGCAAACGGGAGAGTCCGAGGAAACGGATGAGACTCTCATATTCTGGAATGTCACCGAGTTCGAATGAGCTGTACGATGTGTGAAAAGATATATTCGCAAGTATAATCTCTACGAGAGTATGCGTATACGCAAGTGAGAATGTGAGTTATGTGAGCCTGCAAATAAGAAAGAAACCATTGCCAAGTACATCGTTGCAGTCAAGCTGAAGAAGCGAGATCTGTTGTATTTTAGTGTGTCTGAGTGGCACGTGGCTTGTCTAATGATTTGGAGTTTTTGCTAAATAAATCAAAATTGTGTACGATCGCCGCTGGAAGGATTTGGCTCTATTTAATTCTTGCGCGGGATAGAAATAACGTTATCGCGCCGGATTAAATGTACATCGGACGGTATATATGTTCTAAATTATTTCGATGGGTCCTCGAGTGTTTCAAATCGCAGACACCACTCGTTGATCCGAATGAAAAACAGAGCCGCAACGCAGTTGCAACGGTTACATTTAATCGTGCAGAAGATTCGCGTGCAGTGTTCCTTACACTTCAACCCCTTCGTCAATCTTTAATCGTACGATAAAAATTATTGCTATGTTAAATGGTAATCTTCTCGAACGAGGTATTTGTAACTACAATGGATGAAGTCTGTAATTTATACACATTTCGCTTTGAACATCTAACGGGACGAAAGGAAGAAATTAAGCTACGCGGTTCATAAATTTTTAAATAAAAATATGACAAAATTTCTGATTCCCAATTTTAATTATTTCCTTTAATTATGTATTTAATATTATATATTAAATGGACGTTTTTTTTATGACATTTAATAAGCTAGGTTTCGGCCAATTTTATTCAAGAAATCGGAAAGGTTTATAGATATCGTGCGGTGCCACGTACTAACGGCAGGGTGTCGCGAAATCACGTCATACCTTCTGTCAATTGGGGTCACGGTTGGATACATCTCACACCCAAGAGGTACGTATAAACGAGCGTAATTTGATGGGACGTCGTCGGCTGGGACGTGTACGAACCGTATCACATTTTTCATGCGACTGAGAGCCGCGCGCCTTACGATCCCGCGTTATCAGATATTCCAAGAATGTAGGCCATGATTATCTAATGAACGGTCAGCCTACAAATTCGCCTCCCACAACGTCTCTCTGCCGTACCGTTACCATAATCACAAATTAACTTTACGCGGCTTATTGTTAGTGCCGAAAAGATTGCCGATCCAGCACCATTAACCATTCGATAATAACATTTTTTTCTCAAGAATCATTCCGATAAACATCGTTCATCTTGGGTATCTTGTGGGAATTATTATTACCTCTTGAAATAGAATTGCCTATGACTAATGCAAAAATCTTGCGAGCAAAAGGCGCTTAATTGGTGATTAACACGCACATGCGGCAGAGATTATCACAACAGCATCGATAGTATAATGTATATAATACATAAAAAACTAACATCTTGTATATAATCAAGAATATTATACAAGAAATAATATAATTATAAAACAATAACATTAACATAATTTAAAAAATATTTAAAATATTATAAAAATATATGATAATAAAAAAAAACGAGAATGAAGACTAATAATGACATAATACAAATTCTTTTGATCAGTGGCTTAATTAACGTAGCTTTTCAAATTCAAGTGGTCCAGATTTTGTATCATTGTTTTTCAGCGGAATGCAACGAATTTGACGGGAATATCTTTGGCACGCCGACGTCCGCGCTCTCCGTAGACATTCCTGATCTACATTTCACGACGATTTCGGCGCAGTTCTAGGAAAATCTGGCCCAGCTCTGCCGTTACCCCATTCCCTTATGGTTCGCCCATGAAGCGACGTCACGAGCTATCCGCGGAACTCGTGATATTGCCCGTTAATATCTAAAATTAATGTAAACATTCGAAACGGTGGACGGACGACGATACCGTGCGCCGCGCCGCCGTAGGAAACTGTAACGTAGAAGCGCTAATTTTAACGATGTTCAAGGCCACGGTGGCCGAAGAGCCGCGGCGATTTCGCTCATCTCCTTCCCTCTCTCGTTCTCTTTTTTTCTCTTTCTTTCTTGAAAAGCCGGCCCGCTTCTATCTACGCGCGACCTCATAGGCAACGACCTATATCTTTCCGCTGCGAACTACGCCAGCGAAATGGCAAGCTACACAATAATCACGTCGAATCTCGTTGAGTGCAGTTAAAATGTTGACGCGCGACGTCATGCACGAGAATAGTGCTAATCGCAATCAAAGAAAGAGAGAAGGAGACACCGCGCTCGTTTTAAGCGCGGCGACTAATCGGATCGGAGCGCGCCGCTCGTAAAACCGTCCGATGAAAGATTCAAGGGTGCGCGTTCAGGGCCGAGGGAAGTCAAGGCGTGCCGGAAAAACCTTCCCCTTCGATCGCGTAATACCGACCTTTCGAATCACGCGACGTAATCGCACCGTCGCGAAATCACGTCGTTCCGACGACGCGCGACGTACCTATGTTTCAACGATCGTGTCAGTTTTGCTCGCTAAAATTCGCGGACGACATTCGCGACGCGGAGGATACACGAGACTAATTTTTTTCGCAACGTCTTCTCCGCTGGATTCGTTTATCGATCTGTCGTTTATCGCTTGCACGTAATCCGCGCGTATCGCCGAAGACGGCAGCATTACGCAAAAAATGAGTGAACTTTGGAGATTTTGCGAAATAAGTCACCGTATCAGAATTCGGTCCAGACTGGTCCAGACTTAATTCGATTGACTTTACGTAACTGATCCTTAATCGGATAAGAATCTCCCAAACAGCACACAATTGTGCTATTTGGGCTGCTGCTTCAGTTTTCTTCGCGCCGCGGCGCCGTCCGAGAAACAAGAATCGAGAGAAAAATGCGGAAGCAATTAGATCTTACGCAATACACCAGGCGCAATATCGTTTTCACGTCACGGAATTCTATCTATCTATCGCGGGATTTAACGGAGCGTTTGTTAACGCCGCGAGGCCATTAACGGGATGATATTTCCTCGACGGGCGGCGGGATGTTTGTTATTCGTTCACCAGTTCGGCCGACCCAGTTACTCGCCGCGCGGGCAAAACGGCAATTAACCCGGCTACGATACGCGACTTTATCGCGGTCGTATATCCCGGCCGCGTGCGTAGACGCTAAAAATATTTCGCCGGAAGAGCCGAAAGTCGAGGGCGTCCGTCGAATCGCGGATGTGCTCCTCTTCCGCCGCGAGTTCCGGCGCCCTTGATCGGGCGCGCCGTCGTCGTCGTCGCGCGCGATACCATCATGACCATCATTCACACCCCCCTGCGTCATTGACGGGGGAGAGGAGGGCTTCGTCCGCTTCATTGTCGCGTCCGCGCGCGTAGAAACAGTAGCCGTATCGTAACAGTAGTAGCGTATCACCGGGTCACGTTCCTCGGTCCGCTCTATTAAACGCGACGACGCTCTCGGCCTCCTCGAGCGCGGCCGGAATCACGTTCCACGGCGCCCGTATTTGGCGTCCGTATTCGGGTCTTCCGGCGTCCGGGCGGCGGGAAGACGATACGTGCGATCGTACCTGATCCCGTTGCGCGATAACGATGCACGTCCGCTCTTTTCCTCTCTCTCTCTTTCCCGCGGCTTCTCTGTTCACGAGCGGACGGACGGACGCCCGGACGATGCGTTTTCCGCGGACGCAACGCGTGGCACTGAACGCGCGGCGCGAAGCAGCGAAACGCGCGCTGCATGCGAATAATGTTTTTATCCGAGTACCGCGAGTCTGGCGATACCTCGCGATACGAAGCCGAGTCTTCGTGGTCGCTTGGCGCGTTCGTTCATTCGTTCGTTCGTCTGCCTGCTCGTTCGCGGCGATCGCGCGAATCGAACGCAAGTCCACCCGGCCTCGGGACAAGCTGGTATTATTTGAGACGATGAAGGTCTCATCTGCAGATTAATTTGCATTATCCACGCGACAACAAACACGAATTCGAATGGAGAACGCGAGATCGTCATCCACACGCGAGCGTTATAGCTATTAAGGAAAATGCAAACGTAATCTATTACAAACAACGCGCATCGAGAGTTGAGCATTAATTAGCGCCGCGAATAATATTCTCGTGTCGGAAAAAAATTCCTGTTTTTCTCTTGCAACCATAAAATTATTTCGCATTTAAATGTTAAATGCCTCTGTACCTCGTGTATCACGCAGAAATACGCGGGAATCCGAACAACAGTGCCATTCAGTGCTAAATGCGCGCGCGGAGCGTCCCTCAAAATCAGGGACGATTCTGCAGTTTGCGGTGCTCTACAAAATTACGACACAAAATTGCAGTCGGTTGTATTCAAGTACGATTCAACGTCAATTGACGTTCAAATAAATTAATAAGCTAAAAGTTTATTGCATGCGGAGTTCCCATTTTGAAATCTCTGGAGCTCCGCTTCCGTTAATTTCTTTTACTTTTATTTTTGCTTGATTAAAAAAAGAATTGTTTTCATTTTTCATCTCCAACTCAGAATCAACGTAAATAACTACTCGATTCTTTTTTCCTAGATCAATTCGCAAACATTTCCGCGCGATGACAGAAGAATCAAAGCAAATCTCGAGATCGAGCTTACCGCTCCCGCGGCAAGAAGCAAAACTTGTCCCGATATTTGCATATGCACCATATGTCCGAGGATATCCGTTAACTTCTCGTCCACCACGCGATCACGACGCGCTCCCGATTGTGGACAATGGGCCACAGAGCACGGGCGTTTAGCTTTCATTAACGCTTCCGAGTTTGCGAAAACACGGTCGCGTGGCGCGACACGGCGCGGTCTGTTATCTCTTTGTAAGCACCGATTATCACGTAGTAACACCGGCGTTGGTAAATACACAACGGCGAGTGACACGTGACGGTTAACGTGTCGAACATATGTTTCCTCCACTAGGGTGAGAATGTTTTTCAGATATTTTGGGATGTATCGAGACG